AAGTATTGAAGAACAACAGTACGTCAAGTTAACGACACCAGAAATAACCACAATAATAAAAGGCACAGATAATTGGAAAGCACCGGGACCAGATAGGTTGCAAAACTTTTGGATCAAAAAATTCTCAGCCCTTCACAGCGCAATGACAGCTGCCATCAATCACATTATTGAACATCCAGAAGATGCACCCTCATGGCTCACATCCGGAACTACAGTGCTCTTATCCAAAGGAAAGAATACGAAAGACCCCAAAAATTATCGCCCTATAACGTGCCTGAGTACAATGTACAAGATAATTACAGCAGCGTTAGCTAACAGGATTAACGAACATCTACTTAACCACAACATTTACCCTGACGAGCAAAAAGGAAGCAGGAAAGGAACAAGAGGGTGTAAAGATCATCTTTTAGTCAGCAAAATGGTAGTCAGTGTGGCAAAAACACGAAGGAAAAACTTATGCATGGCCTGGATCGACTACCGTAAAGCGTTTGATAGTCTACCGCATGAATGGATTATGAAAGTACTGCAACTATATCGAGTTTGTCCAACTATACAAAGGTACATAGAATGCTCAATGAAAACATGGAAAACCGAAATGCATCTATATCACACTAAGGGATGCATAAAAACCGGACATATAGGCGTTCAGCGAGGCATATTTCAAGGCGATTCTCTCTCCCCCCTACTGTTTTGCATGTCACTAATTCCACTGACCAGTATGCTTAACAGAGAAAAGACTGATTTTGTTATAGACGCAAACAATACAGTTAATCATCTGTTATACATGGATGATCTGAAATTATTTGCCAAAAATGAGAACGATTTGCGTCGCGCTTTAATGACAGTGAAAACATTCTCGGATGATATAAATATGCAATTTGGACTGGATAAGTGTGCAACAGCAATATTCAAAAGGGGTAAACTCACTAAGGCACAGAATATAATTCTAGATAAAGCAACAACAATAATGAACATGGAGCCTGAAGAAACCTATAAATATCTAGGCATTGAAGAAGCAGATGGAATCGAAGATGAACATGCCAAATCCAGAATATCGAGGGAGTATTATCGTCGTGTGCGCCTGATTCTTAAGACAGAATTATGCTCCAAAAATAAAATATCTGCAATCAACTCTTTCGCTGTGCCTGTACTAAGTTACAGCTTTGGAATTGTCAATTGGCTGAAGTCAGATATTCTGAGAATAGACCGGAAAACCAGGAAGCTGCTGACAATGGCACATATACACCATCCCAAGGCTGACGTGGACAGGTTATATGTAAAGAGGCGCAATGGAGGACGCGGAATGGTAGAAATTGAAGCTCTATATGAAACATCTATGGTTGGTCTCGGAGAATATATAACCCAAGGGAAGGACAAACTATCAAAAATAGTGAAAGAATGGGACAATGGCCTTTGCAAATACTCCATCCAGAAAGAAATGAAGAAGATTATGTCGGAACGTCTAGGAGGCGAAGACCCGACTAGAAACTCAATCGACAAGATCAAGAACGTCGCTGAAAGTGGCAGACTAGCAAAAGTAGCCTCGAAACCATTGCACGGACAGTTCTTCCGACAACTCGAGAGAACAGAGGTAGATAAACGTGGAAGTGTCAGTTGGATGAGAAGCTCTACGCTGAAAGCGGAAACAGAAGCTCTGATAGTATCTGCACAAGATCAAGCATTAAATACAAGGTACCACCAAAAGTATATACTAAAACAAAGTACAGACAGTAAATGCAGAATATGCGGGCAGTTCGACGAACACATCAGCCATATAGTAGCAGGTTGCCAAGTACTAGCCCCTTCAGAGTATACCGCTAGACATAACAATGTAGCTAGTTACGTTCACTGGAAAATATGTGACTCGTTTGGTATTCCAGTTACAGATAAATATTATCAACATGAAATCCAGAGTGTCACCAACATCAAGAATGACACCACTGATGTATGTATTATGTGGGATGTGCCGGTAATAACGGATCGAACAATAAAAGCAAACCGACCTGACATTATAATTCATAACAGAAAGGAGAAAACATGTCAACTAATTGATATAGCGGTTCCCGACGATTCCAATGTAAAATCGAAAGAAAATGAAAAGATATCTAAGTACAGAGATCTCCAGATAGAAATACAGAGAATGTGGCATGTGAAAGCTTGGATAACTCCTGTCGTTGTCGGTGCATTAGGAACTATCACCAAAACCTTCCACGGAAATTGTGACTCAATACCCGGTAAACCAGCACTCTACCAAATTCAAAAAACGGCACTACTAGGAACAGCGCATATACTAAGGAAGGTGCTTGGATAGTCTCTTTGATATCTGGTTGATATCTGGTCTATCCTTTATTACCAGACAGATACGTCTGTGGAAGAAAAAAAATAATAATAATAATAAATGGCCTTTATTTTACCTGGCGGGTTGCATCAGCACAAGCTGTTTTTCAGAACCAACCAGGGCTAAAAAAAAATTCAAGTACATGCAAATACAACAAAAATACATTGAAGATAACATTTAAAGCAGAAAAACAATTTTTTTTACAGAATCGTAGCATGGTATAATGACCAAAAGACCAAAAGAGAAACGTGCAGCAACAGAGTACGTAGCAGAATCAAAAACCGTGATTAAAAGTAACTTTAAAAAAAGAAAATATTAGGTATATGGCGGAAAATATAAAAATTAAACAGTAACAGTAACCTGTTTTATAAAAATGCCATTTTTATTCTCCAATCAAGAGTTAGCGGATATTCATTTTGTGTATGGCTTTGTAAATGGAAACGCAGCAGAAGCAGCCAGAGAATACGCACGAAGATTTCCAAACAGACGACATCCAACTCGCTCAGTATTTGTAAGAGTGCATCGCCAAATAATTGAAAATGGTTTTGGAAATCTCCAAAGGGATCAAAACATAAATGTTCGTCAGCGCAGATTTACCCGTATGATTCTGCGTGAGTTTGATAGAGATCCGACCACAAGTGTTAGGAGAGTTTCTGGTGCCTTGGGAATTTCAGCAAGCCATGTTCACCGTGTTCTTAGAAATGACCGTAGAAGTCCTTACCATTTGCAACCTGTGCAAGGACTACAGCCAGGGGACGGAGAACGAAGAATCACATTTTGGTAGTGGATTCTTGATAGAACTGATAATAATAGGGAGTTTTTAAGTAACGTTTTATGGACCGATGAGTCATGCTTCACTAGACGTGGAGTGGTAAATTTTCATAATCAACATATTTGGTCGCATGAAAATCCGCATGCAGTTCGGGAAAGAAATGTTCAGCATGAATTTAGTGTGAACGTGTGGATTGGTATCTACCGTAATCGACTATTTGGACCCTACCTTTTGCCTGCAAGGTTAAATGCTGCGACCTTCTTGGAATTTTTCAAGGCTGAACATGCAAATATGTGGGATGATGTTATGTTAGATTTAAGAAGATTGGCCTGGTTCCAGTTTGATGGTTGTCCAGCTCATTATTCGAGAATAGTTAGAAACTGGCTGGACGAAAATTATCCAGAAAGATGGATCGGCGGTGGAGGACCAGTCGCCTGGCCTCCACGATCCCCTGACCTAAGTCCATTAGATTTCTTTGTGTGGGGATTTCTAAAAGAAAAAGTGTACCAGACTCCCGTAACCACAAGAGATATGCTAATAGACAGAATCAGGAATGCATGTGATGAAATAAGGCCTTGTTTGAATAATGCTATACCACGTTCGATCATTCGTAGATGTGAATTGTGTATTGAACAATTGGGTTTACATTTCGAGCAACTACTTTAGATTTTGTATGTTTGTCCTAACCATCCAATAGCATTTTAGTTGTAAATAATTAATTTAATTTGTTAAAAATATTTTTTTAAAATTAAACAAATTAATATTCTGTTTTTTGTGTTTATTTGAAGTTAGGAATTATTGCTGTGTTTAAAAACACAATCTAAACTTTCATCTTAATTACTTGTAATGCCCAAATCGAAAATGTAAAAAAAATATTATTTTCCCATAAATAATTAAAAATGCATCGAACCTTAAAAATCGAAATATCTCCAAAACGGCTAACTATAACGAAAACTCACAGGAGAGCTTTTTTATGCAGAAAAGGGCGAAGAATCAGTTTTTTTATTCAAAAAGCAAAAAATTGCACTAAGAAAATTTTGTTGGTCATTTTAATACACTACAGGTACAGTAGAGAGCGCCCTCCAGCGGCTACAGTAAAACTATGGCCATGGTTCGTTTTATCGTACCAAAAAACGCTTGTATACCGATTTTCACTGTTATACATCAAATATTGTTCGAAATATTTGAAAAAAAACTATTTTAAAAAGTAAATTTAAACACCATTTCGGAAGTCACGCATTTTTCGACCCCTGTTTATATAGACTTTATGCATTAATTTTAAAAGTTCTATCGAATCTTAAAGTTATGCAACAATAAACTGAAACACCCTGTATATATAAGTGTATCGTCTGCAGATACCTATTTGAATTTTGCAGTATTCTGAAATGTCAGAGATATCATTTATATAAATAATAAATAGCCACTGCCCTAATTTACTCCCCTGTGGCACCCCTACTGATATATTTTAAACACTTGACCTAATATTTCCAACTTTAGTTTTTTTACTTCTATTTACTAAATAATTTTGTAAAATGCGTAATACTGATCCTTTAAAGCCATAGTGACGCAATTTCATGAACAATTTGTCCCTATCTATAGTCTTAAATGCCCTTTTGAAGTCTAAAAATATTATTACAATATATTCTTTCTCATCTATACTTCTTCTCGAGTCTTCAACCACCATTTGGACTGCCGTTTCTGTTTACTTTGCGACAGACCTTGCATGTTGCAATGACAAATTTTGCGCTCGATCGATCGGTTCTTCAACCGCACGGATTTATACGATCACGCACGATCAATTACCCTACAATCAGAGCGAAAGAATACATCGATTGATGAGCGATTTGTCCGCGTTTCGACAAGTTTAACGGACTGTACGATGTTTGACAGGGTGATCTGGAACTATGCGACACAAGCGACGTGAGTCTGAGCCCCCAGGACATGGATGACGACGGGGGCAAAGTCGTCATCGTGGGAGTGTGTGCGATGGAAAAGAAGACCCAGAGCAAACCGATGAAAGAGATTCTCACTAGATTGCAGGAGTTCGAGTACATCAAAGTGACCGTTTTCCAGGAGGATATTATTTTGAATGTAAGTTTAGTTCACTTGATGGATCAATTTTTATATACAGTAATGGAAAAAAGTATATGGACAAATTATATAATTATAGAAAACCAACCATGTTTGTGTTAATATTTTGTAGCATAACCATTATTATCAATCAACGCCAGGCATCTTCTCGGCTCTAAAGCGGCAAAAGTTGTTTGAATAATTTTTATCTCGTATTTGCTTATCTAAGTATTCTCATAGATTTTCAATGGGGTTTATATCGGGATACTGTGAAGGCCATTTGAGAACTGGTATTTTTTCATCCAGAAAGAATTTCTTTGCGAGATTTGAAGTGTGCTTCGGGTCATTATCTTGCTGGAAAATTGATCTTAAAGGCATGTTGTCTTCCATATAGGGTAACATGACATGCTTTAGTATGTCTGGGTATACAAACTTATCCATAATGCCATCTATTCTATATAAAGGTCCCATATCCCAAACCCCGAAAAGCTCCCCCAAACCATAACAGACCCGCCTCCATGTTTGACAGTGGACAATATTTGTCCACTAGGACGTCTAAAGTAATGAACACCATCTGATCCAAACATGGCTTTAGGAAAAACAAAACGACAACAGATGCCATACTAACTTTAGTAAATTGTATAAGGCAGGCCTTTGAAAATAAAAACAAGTTTTTAGGATTATTTACTGATGTGACTGCCGCTTTCGATTGTGTGAATAGAAATATTTTATTAGAAAAACTACAATTTTATGGCGTTAGGGGAACTGCTTTAAAGCTGATGCGATCCTATCTCTCAGACAGATTCCAGGTTGTTTGCTGTAATAATCGAGCTGGTGAACCTATGCGTGCAGAGACCGGTGTGCCTCAGGGTTCCGTGTTGGGTCCACTCCTCTTTCTCATACATGTGAATGATTTGCGGCAAGCATTCAAAAACGAACATGGCATAGAGATCATACTGTATGCAGATGCTCCAATCAAGATGCAAATTGTGTAATCGGTCGTTACGGTTTTTCCTCGAGATTAGCGGTTTCTTATCATTTAATCTTCTACTTATATTTTTCGTAGAAACACTGACAATTCCTTTTGTCTCGATTTCGGTTTTTATTTGTCTTGGGGTTTAAACGGATCTTTGGACGAAATTTATTTTTCTAGACCGACCACTTCTCTTAGAGGCTTCCAAGATACCTTTTTGTTTATATTTGCTCAATATTGCCCATACTGCTTTACGCTTCAGCTTCAAAATTTTGGCAATGTCGACTTGACATTGACCATCTTTGTATAACTCAATGATCTTAGTTTTCACATCGAAATAAATTTCTGGACCACGCGGCATGGTCTTAAAATCACTCAACTTACTCCACAATACTTGACGAACACAAACTAATCATCCTCTTCTGACACGAAACTGTACTAAACTAATGTTGAAAAGAATTTGTCTACACATTTTTGTCCCTGATAAAAAAGTGCTTATATTCAGACTTGTATCGTGTTCATTGCAGATAATGTAAAGACAAGGAATTTAGTTTTTCTACTAATAACGCATTTGTTTATGGAGCAATGAAGTATTTAGGTAAATATTCATATTTGTCTATATACTTTTGTCCATTACTGTATATTGGTATCCAAAAATCTCGTTTACACACATGTTACGTATGTAACAAGAATATCATATACATGAAGAATAGAGTTAGGAGGTTAAACTGCCTAAGAGAAGACGCATACGAGGGTTGTAGCATCCCGGGGGGCGCCTTAGCGAATATTATTGGAAAAAATGTTCGCCACTGCCTTTCTTGTAACTTTAATATCTGTTGCTTCATTAAGCATCTAAAAATGAAATTTCTTTGCCCCTTGTATTTTTTTCGTATCTCACTTCGTTTTTGATAAAAGACACAGCCACTGATTGCATTTTGAAATATTGATTTGCTAGTTATATGTATTACTATTACAATTTCTTAAATGAAAATTTGTATTTCCTCTGGGATAATAATAATATGATATGCATTTTTATATTCAACCACTGCAATTCTTGTAACATAGATTTTATTTTGGTGTACTTATTTTTATTCAATATTATTCTCATTATTTTCCAGGGCTTGTAATTTTAAGAACTCAGCTTCATTGACAGTGAATAAGATAGTTGAATAATACCATATAGTAAATGCGTTAGAATAATTGTATTATAAACTATTTTTCTGTAATATGTACTAAGATTATGAGAATCCCTATAAAAGTAATTTGTTTTTTTGCAATTTTTGAAATAATCATTCATAGTGATCCAAAAACTTTAGTTGATGGATCCAACATTTTCAATTATTTCACCATTTATCCCAACTGTGGTAGTATTTTCAATTAGGTGTTTCTCTATTAGCATATATTTTGTTTTAGAAGCTTTTAATTTTAATTTATTTACATTCAACCGATTTAGTATTTTTACAGCAGTGTCTATATTTTCATCTGATATGCAAATTAATGTATCATCTGCAAATATCTGAATTTTAATCTAAAGTATCGCAAGTGGATAAAATAAAAAGTTGTGGACCTAGTTTACTACTTGTGGTACACCAACCAAAATATTTTTTGAGCTTGATAATATAGATCCAATTTTGGTTTTGTGAGTTCTGTCGATTAAGTAGTTTTATAGAATTTTGAATACAGATCCTTTAAATCCATAGTGATTTTAATAATTTCTCTCTGCAATTAGTTTTAAACGCGTTTTGAAGTCGAAAAACAGTTAGTTAGTTCCGCTAGTATTTTTATAATAAACGATATTCGATAATATACTAAGTGACATATAAATCCGAACACCCAGTTTAAATGGTTTTATTTTAATAAAATTTTGTATAAGTACTTAATGAAGCATAATAAGTAAATGATAAAAATTTCAAAATGATTGCACTGCTTTAAAGCACTTTGAGCTTTAATAATGTGTGGATGCACCCTGATGTGCTACGCATTCTCCAACGCGCCTAGGCATGCTTCTGATTAGGTGGTCAATGTCCTCCTGTGGTATCTCGTTCCAGGCAACCACCAACTCCTCTCGAAGTGCTTCTAGAGTCTGAGGAGGACGTTGCAAATTGAGCAATCTCCTACCCATCATATCCCACACGTGCTCAATTGGGGATAAGTCGGGAGATCTACGTGGCCATGATAACAATGTGACATCATTATGTTGAAAGAAGTCTATTGTGACTCTTGCAACATGTGGTCGGGCATTATCTTGTTGGAAAGTTGGATCTGCCAGGGTGTCAAGATAGGGTAAAAGATGGGGTTCTAGAACTTCGTGGATATAACGCTGCGCGTTCATGTTACCTCTGATGAAGATTAAAGGTGACCTGGAACCATAAGCTATAGCACCCCAAACCATAACTCCAACAGTGTGATGAACATGTCTTTCAACAAAAAACTGTGGATTCCTCCTTTCACCACGTCGCCTTCTAACCCTGGCACGACCATCGTGCATGCCTAAACAAAATCGAGACTCTTCACTAAAGACAATACTGTTCCATTCCTGATCCCAGTGTGACCGTTGTCTGCACCACTCAAGGCGATTACGTCGGTGTTCTCGAGTTAAAGGGAGGACCCAGTGTGGCCGGTATGAAAACAAGCCAAAACTTCTCATTCGTCGGTAAACACTTCGCATGCCAATAGGTCTTCCGTGTTCTGCAAACCATTCATTTGCAATGGACCTGGTAGTGGAGAAACGGTCCCTTAAGGCCAATAATCTTAGGCGGCGATCTTCACGGTCTGTTGTTCTACGGCGGCGTCCAGTGCCCCTTGCTCTTTGCGTACGGCCTTCTCGAAGCCATGCCTGACAACACCTAACCACAGTGTCTACACTTCGTTGCACTCTAACTGCAATTGCCCGAAAAGAAAGTCCAGCTTCCCGAAGTCCTACTATACGGCCCCTATCAAACTCACTAAGTTGACGAAATCGTACAGGTCTCCGTACTCTAGGCATCGTAACCGATCGTAAAGGATGTCAAGAACCAAAATCCGCCAACGTTGATTCTTTACTGCGGCTGAAATATTCATTTTTAGAGCGTTAGTGAATTAAAAAAAAGCAGTATAAAAACCGGAATGTCCAACTGATAAGGCTGAAAATTTTTTCACTTGTTATTTACAGTAAGATAAATACATTCACCAACTTTTATTAAAATAAAACCATTTAAACTGGGTGTTCGGATTTATATGTCACTTAGTATATTTCACGTTCGCTTCGTTTCTATGTATTCCTCGGCTCTACCTAGGCGCAAGGAATGTAGAAAAGCCTCGTTGAACAATACATATCATTAATCGATGAATTTTTGTTGCAGAAACTAGTTGAAGAATGGCCAGTCTGTGATTGTTTGATATCATTCCATTCCAAAGGATTTCCTTTAGACAAAGCGATACAATATGCGCAACTGCACAACCCTTATGTTATAAATAATTTGCACATGCAGTACGACATCCAAGATCGCCGGAAAGTGTATTCCATACTGGGCTCTGAAGGCATCGAAATACCTAGATATGCAGTCCTCGACAGAGACAGTCTAGATCCTAAACGTAAGAAACGTCATACCCAGTCATCTGTGAATATACGAGAGTTGTCTCGAATAAAGCGTTCTCACATTTTTTTCAGGCACAAGGAATTTTTTATTTCAAAGAACGAATTTACCTGTATAGTTCATTCAACTGGCGATGAATTTATATTGGCGCAAAAATGTTAATACAATGCAAATTATATGAGAGTCGGTAGGGACCATTAGTAAGTTATCTCATTATGGAATGTCAGATATAGTTCTAAGGTTCTTTGAGTCATACTTGCTAAATCGTCAACAAACAGTGAAAACTGATCAGGGAATTTCCTCCACTGAGCCAGTTCCTTCAGGAGTTCCGCAGGGCTCAGTATTAGGTCCCTTACTATATCTGATTTATACGATCGATCTGCAAGACTGTTTAGTCCACTGTAGTATGCAAACTTATGCAGATGATACTCAGTTAGTGTTTGGTTTCGATCCGTCAAAGGTTGATGAAGATTTGGCTAACATCAGTGATTACTGTAAAAACACTGCTTGAAGATCAATCCTAATAAAACTACTGCAATGTTGTACTGTTCGAAGAACTCCTACCGTGAAATGAAGCAGAAGATTTGTGTTGTTTTGGATCGAGACACTCATCCCTTTTGTGGATTACGCCAGGAAACTCGGTGTTACCCTTGACTTAAATATGAGATTCGATCGGTATGTCTCTTTCTTATCTAGAGTAACGTATTTGCGTTTGAAACTCCTCTATTCTAATCGATACATCTTGAATTTTAAAACCTGAAAAAAGCTCGCCGAAAGTCTTGTGTTGTCTGTCATTTCTTACTCTCTTGTTCTTTATTACCCATGTTTGGACTACGTCCACACAAGGAAACTCCAGAAAATTCAGAACAGCTGTTGTAGGTTTATTTTTGGATTGCGCAAGTTTAGTCGCGTCTCAGATAAAATCAAAGTACTCAACTGGGTGCGAATTGATAAGTTATGTTTATATCTTTTGACCGTCTTCACGCATAAAGTTCTATTATCTAACAGACCAGCTTACCTCGCTAGCAAATTAGTTCACCGTGGTAGTTTTGTTACCAGAGCTCTTAGATTTAATGCTAATTTTAACATGCCTCCTCACAATACCTCGGTCTTTGAAAGAAGTTACACCTATAATGCTGTCAAGCATTACAATGCAGTCAACAGTGGCTATCGATCCAAACAGTTTGCTTCTTTTAAGAAATTAATGAAAAGTCAGCTGCTGGAGTCCATTTAGTTCAGTTTTTCTTGTGTTCATGTGCTTTTTTTGACTATTTTCTACTATTTTTGTTTCAAATTTAAAACGCTCACAATACTATCTGCATTTGTCTCTTACAGTCAATGTTGTCATTGTATTTTTTTGGTATGTTATTATTTTATGTGTTTAAGTATTTTTTGCACTGCAGCTAATAAAGGCATTATTATTATTATTAAATTGCCCGTTTAAAGGAGCTGTTCATGTAAGAGGGGTGCATGCAACATCGAGTTAAAATTTTGATCTTTCACGCCTCACGCTGAGCTGAAGCGGTGCGAGGAATAAATGTTTCCGCTTTCAGATCATGAACTGGTGGAATCGGAAGATCACGTCGAGGTAAACGGTGTAACGTTCAACAAACCTTTTGTCGAGAAGCCAGTGTCAGCTGAAGATCACAATATTTACATATATTACCCGACTTCGGCCGGAGGAGGGAGTCAGAGATTATTCCGGAAGGTAATCGAATCAGCTATTTTTCCTTCATTTAATATTTTTATCTAATGAATGTTTTGTTGTAGATTGGCAGTAGAAGTAGTGTGTATTCTCCAGAATCTAGAGTCAGGAAAACTGGTAGTTTTATTTACGAAGACTTCATGCCTACGGATGGAACTGATGTCAAGGTAATCTACTTTTTAAGTAGTTTATTTTTATTTCAAAGGCTATGTATATATATATATACAGGGTGTTTCAGTTTATTGTTGCATAACTTTAAGATTCGATAGAACTTTTAAAATTAATGCATAAAGTCTATATAAACATGGGTCGAAAAATGCGTGGCTTCCGAAATACAGGGTGTTTAAATTTACTTTCTAAAATAGTCTTTTTTTAAATATTTCGAACAATATTTGATGTATAACAGTAAAAATTGGTATACAAGAGTTTTTTGGTACGACAAAACGAACCATGGGCATAGTTTTACTGTAGCCGCTAGAGGGTGCTCTCTACTGTACCTATAGTGTATTAGAATGACCGAAAATTTTTTCTTAGTGCAACTTTTTGCTTTTTGAATAAAAAACTGATTCTTCGCACTTTTCAACATAAAAAAGCTCTCTTGTGAGTTTTCGTTATAGTTAGCCGTTTTTGAGATATTTCGATTTTTAAGGTTCGATGCATTTTTAATTATTTATGATAAAATAACGTTAAAAAGTCAGTATCTCGATAATTTTTAGAAGTAGGCAGAGCCTGCAAATATTTTTGAAATTGAAAGCAGAATAAGGTTAAGCGTCAATTAGTTGACAGTTAGTTTTGTTGTCTGTTGAAACCTGAAACGTTTTTTTGCAATTGTGAATGCACGAAATTTAGTTTCTTTTACCTGTTTTTTTTTTTGTAAGTTTTATAAAAATGCCATTTTTATTCTCCAATCAAGAGTTAGCCGATATTCATTTTGTGTATGGCTTTGTAAATGGAAACGCAGCAAAAGCAGCCAGAGAATACGCACGAAGATTTCCAACCAGGCGACATCCAACTCGCTCAGTATTTGTAAGAGTGCATCGCCAAATAATTGAAAATGGTTTTGGAAATCTCCAAAGGGATCAAAACATAAATGTTCGTCAGCGCAGATTTACCCGTATGATTCTGCGTGAGTTTGATAGAGATCCGACCACAAGTGTTAGGAGAGTTTCTGGTGCCTTGGGAATTTCAGCAAGCCATGTTCACCGTGTTCTTAGAAATGACCATAGACGTCCTTACCATTTGCAACCTGTGCAAGGACTACAGCCAGGGGACGGAGGATGAAGAATCACATTTTGTCAGTGGATTCTTGATAGAACTGATAATAATAGGGAGTTTATAAGTAACGTTTTATGGACCGATGAGTCATGCTTCACTAGACGTGGAGTGGTAAATTTTCATAATCAACATATTTGGTCGCATGAAAATTTTTAGCATGAATTTAGTGTGAACGTGTGGATTGGTATCTACCGTAATCGACTATTTGGACCCTACCTTTTGCCTGCAAGGTTAAATGCTGCGACCTTCTTGGAATTTTTAAAGGCTGAACATGCAAATATGTGGGATGATGTTATGTTAGATTTAAGAAGATTGGCCTGGTTCCAGCTTGATGGTTGTCCAGCTCATTATTCGAGAATAGTTAGAAACTGGCTGGACGAAAATTATCCAGAAAGATGGATCGGCCGTGGAGAACAAGTCGCCTGGCTTCCACGATCCCCTGACCTAAATCCATTAGATTTCTTTGTGTGGGGATTTCTAAAAGAAAAAGTGTACCAGACTCCCGTAACCACAAGAGATATGCTAATAGACAGAATCAGGAATGCATGTGATGAAATAAGGCCTTATTTGAATAATGCTATACCACGTTCGATCATTCGTAGATGTGAATTGTGTATTGAACAATTGGGTTTACATTTCGAGCAACTACTTTAGATTTTGGATGTTTGTCCTAACTATCCAATAGCATTTTAGTTGTAAATAATTTATTTAATTTGTTAAAAATAATATTGGAAAATTAAACAAATTAATATTCTGTTTTTTTTTTGTGTTTATTTGGAGTTAGGAATTATTGCTGTGTTTAAAAACACAATCTAAACGATCATCTTAATTACTTGTAATGCACAAATCGAAAATGTAAAAAAAATAAAATTTTCCCATAAATAATTAAAAATGCATCGAACCTTAAACATAGAAATATCTCAAAAACGGCTAACTACAACGAAAACTCACAGGGGAGCTTTTTTATGTTGAAAAGTGCGAAGAATCAGTTTTTTATTCAAAAAACAAAAAATTGCACTAAGACAAATTTTTCGGTCATTTTAATACACTACAGGTACAGTAGAGAGCGTCCTCTACCGGCTACAGTAAAACTATGCTCATGGTTCGTTTTGGCGTACCAAAAAACCCTTGTATACCAATTTTCACTGTTATACATCAAATATTGTTCGAAATATTTAAAAAAAACTATTTTAGAAAGTAAATTTAATTTCGGAAGCCACGCATTTTTCGACCCATGTTTATATAGACTTTATGGATTAATTTTAAAAGTTCTATCGAATCTTAAAGTTATGCAACAATAAACTGAAACACCCTGTATATTGGCCATCCTGTATAAAACAATTGGGGATCAGAAGATGTCGATAGTCTCCGGGAATGCGGAAAGAGTGGAGTTAAATTAAAAACTATTTAATATACTTCGCAAAATATTCAGTTGATCATATTTATTTACTATTATTTGTTTCGATATAAAAAAAAAATTGTGTATTTTGCAGGTATATACTGTTGGACCTGATTATGCACATGCTGAAGCCAGGAAGTCGCCTGCTTTGGATGGGAAGGTGGAAAGAGATCGAGAGGGAAAAGAAATACGTTATCCGGTCATACTTAGTAATGCTGAAAAACTCATTTCACGAAAGGTATGTACAAAAATATTTCACGTCAATAGAATACAAGTATGTTTCTCATCTTCTCCATGGAGCCTGCCTAACTAATTCGTCTATATCACCAGCTGCCAACCAACTTTCAGGATCACCTGTTGGAGACAAATTCAATCGTTACACTACTTTTTTGAAAATCTCGCTTTTCTCACTTAAATTCATGCTTTGGTCCGCCATCACCCCGGGACTGATTGTTCAAATATAATTACAATTTTATAATCGACCGTGTTCAAACTTCATGTTCCCCTGTCTCTAACGCTACGTTGCCAGTCTCAATACTTAATTTACAGACGCCATATCATACGATCAATTGAACTAGCAAAGTATTACAACAATGTAACATTGCAGATAAGGTGGATGAATGCAGTGAATTTAGCTCTTTCCATTAACGGTTGATCTTTGAACTGCAATCACGATGCTTTTTTTAACCTACCGTTGAAAAATCTGTCCAACTTTTTTTTTATTTCAGGTCTGCCTGGCATTTAAGCAGGCGGTTTGTGGGTTCGACTTGTTGAGAGCCAACGGAAAATCGTTTGTGTGCGATGTGAATGGGTTTAGTTTTGTTAAGAATTCCAACAAGTATTATGACGACTGTGCCAAAATTTTGGGAAATATGATATTAAGGTATGTTTTATATGTATAAGATGATTGTTTAACACGTTAACTAGTAGTAGTAGAAAGATTTATTTAGCACATTTGGCTACATAAACAGAACAATTGTAAACAACTTAGAACTAGTAAATTCAAGCCATATGGTGTATGATGTAAATGCTGGGCAACCTATAATTGTAGATTTAACAAGTGATTTCTCAATTTTACTTTAAATTTTGTCAAAGTTTTCTGGTCTTTTATCTCCGAGTATAATTTATTATATTCAATCAACCCTTGATGGAATACAGATTTGTAGCATATGTTATACTTTTTGGTCATTAAATGGAAGTCATCTTTATTTCTGGTATTATGTAAATGATGGTCGACATTTGATGATGTTAAATTAGTTAGACTTGATGGAAATATATTATTTTTTACTTTATAAATGAATATCATTACAAGATATTTGATAAAAATTTTTACATTGAGCCATTTTAGTTTGCTAAGCATTTGCCTAATTGGAGTATATTTATCTTTATTTAGTATTATTCTCATGCACTTATTTTGTAAAATTTGCAGTCTTTCAAAAATGGAATTATTTGCTAAATATAGAATAGTCGAACAGTACAAGAAATTTGGAAGAATGATGGTATTATAGATAATTTTTCTGCTATATGAACTCAGTTACATCCAGAAACTCTCGATAAATATCCCACTTTACTACTAATCTTATTTATAACTTTTTCATAATGAATATCAAAAATTAATCGAGAGTCAACAAAAACCCCCAGGTATTTAAAATTTTCTACGAATTCAATATCTTCACCATCAATATTCAGTTGAACATTTGTACATTGTTTTTTTCCGATTAACAAGGCTTTCGTTTTACTTGCATTTAATTTTAGTCTGTTAGATGCTAACCATTTTGAGACAAGCTTCATGTCTTCATTTATATAAAAGATACCAGACTGACTATTTTTAGTACTTATATAAATCATAGTGTCATCGGCGAAAATCTGAATTTTGCATTTTTTGACTATGGCAGGTAAATCATTTATGTATAAAATAAAAAGAAGTGGTCCCAGGATACTGCCCTGTGGAACACCCAACGTATTTTCAATTTTTGATGAAATAGTGTCATTAACTTTTGAAACTTGCATCTTTTTAGACAAATAATTTCTAAACCAATCTAAAACACTTCCTGTTACACCATATGCCTTCAATTTACCTAACAAAATATCTCTATCAATCGTTTCAAATGCCCTCTTCAAATCCAAAAATACTGTTATGACAACTTCTTCTGAGTCTATGGCTCTTCTCCAATTCTCAGTTACCAACTGGAAAGCCGTTTCTGTGGAATATTTTTTTCGAAAGCCTGCTTGCGCCTCCACTAAAATTTTGTTTTCTTCTATAAACTGCATTAATTGGTCATGCACTATGGACTCTAATAATTTTTCAATATCTGGTAACACATTTACTGGTCTCATATCGCTGCATCTTTTAGAATTTTTTATTTTGGGAACTAGTGTTATTGTAGAGCATTTCAAATTTTCAGGAAAAGAACTGCTTCTCAGTGAACAATTGATCCAATTTAATACAGGATATCCCAAAATTTCGAAACAGTTTTTCAGCACGTTTTTAGTAGTGATTTCGGCACAGTTGTTATTTGATTTTAAACTGTTTACTTTTTTTCTTAGATAATTCAATGATACGCTGTGAAATTTTGGAAGTGTATGCAACATTTCCCCCTGGAAACTGATTTTCATATAGTCAGGTGCAGCATTGGCAGTACCCACAATATCAACAATACTTTCCACAAAATATTCATTTAGTTTGTTTGCAATCACCAAAGAATTTGTTTCGGTACCGTTTTCGAATTGAACTTGATTTACACAATCATGCAGCTTCGAATTGATCAGTCTTTTTAAAGTCTTCCACATCTTTACACTGTCGCACTTGTTATTATCGATTTGTTTATCGTAGAATTTCCTTTTTTCTTCTCTAATTACATATATACATTTATTCCTAAGAGTTTTATATACCTCCCAATCATCATTTGGTTTTGTGAATATACATTTATTGTATTGTTTGTCTCTCAAATTTTGAGCTGCCTTAATATTCTTGTTATACCAGGGTGTATTTTTTGTCGAGCAAATCACTTTTTTATCAGTTGCAAGATCTAAACAAGTTTTTATATTTCCTATTATGTTGTCATATATGTTTTCCATATTCTCACCAAAATTCCAATAGCAGCCAGCAAGTTCTCGTTCAAGTTTTTCATACTTAATAGTATTTACGATTTTCTTAATTTTTGTATCAGAAAAATGCAATACCAAGGGCAGCATTGTCCAACTGTGATCGCTAACTTTAGGTGTATGTACAGCTTTAATCCCTGCACATTCGAAACTATCCAAGCATATTCTCGGGATTCCAGCAACACGTCCATTATGACAGACATATTTTTTTAATGTTTTCAACTATGTTTTATATACAAAATCTCATCACTCTCTCCGCTCCATCTTCCATGATCACATATGACTCATGAACGTATCAGTTGGAATAATATACAGTAATGGACAAAAGTATATAGACAAATTAATATTGTGCTGTATTTTTTTTAACTTGTTTTATTAATACACCAACCTGTAAACACAATTCGTTATAGCATAATACTCACTTATACATAAATAAATTGATTAGACTCCCTTCAATAAAAAAATAATTGGAAAAAACTGGAACTATGAAGGACAAAAATATATAGACAAATCAAAATAATTAGAGGAAAAAGAAGCAAAGTTCATTGAATTATAGAAAACCAACCATGTTTGTGTTAATATTTTGTAGCATAATCATTATTGTCAATCACAGCCTGGCATCGTCTCGGCATAGATTGTAGAAGTTTCTTGATATAGGATTCATCAATCTGTCTCCACTTCTGCTCTGGAGCGGCAAAAAGTTCATCGTTGTTTGAATAATTTTTATCTCGTATTTGCTTATCTAAGTATTCTCATAGATTTTCAATGGGGTTTATATCAGGAGACTCTGAAGGCCATTTGAGAACTGGTATTTTTTCATCCGGAAAGAATTTCTTTGCGAGATTTGAAGTGTGCTTCAGGTCATTATCTTGCTGGAAGATTGATCTTAAGAGCATATTGTCTTCCATATAGGGTAATATGACATGCTTTAGTATGTCTGTGTATACAAACTTATCCATAATGCCATCTATTCTATGTAAAGGTCCCATCACAAATCCCGAAAAACACCCCCAAATCATAACAGACCCGCCTCCATGTTTCACAGTGGGCAAAGTGTACTTGGGGTTCAATCTTTGCCCACTAGGGCGTCTAACGTAATGAACACCATCTGATCCAAACATATTGAACTTGGATTCGTCACTTGTTAGGTACATTGAAGGCATATGGTATAACAGGAAGTGTTTTAAATTGTTTTAGAAATTATTTGTTTAAAAAGATGCAAGTTACAAAAGTTAATGACACTATTTCATCAAAAATTGAAAATACGTTGGGTGTTCCACAGGGCAGTATCCTGGGACCACTTCTTTTTATTTTATACATAAATGATTTACCTGCCATAGTCAAAAAATGCAAAATTCAGATTTTCGCCGATGACACTATGATTTATATAAGTTCTAAAAATATTCAGTCTGGTATCTCTTATATAAATGAAGACTTGAAACTTGTCTCAAAATGGTTAGCATCTAACAGACTAAAATTAAATGCAAGTAAAACGAAAGCCTTGTTAATCGGAAAAAAACAATGTACAAATGTTCAACTGAATATTGATGGTGAAGATATTGAATTCGTAGAAAATTTTAAATACCTGGGGGTTTTTGTTGACTCTCGAATAATTTTTGATATTCATTATGAAAAAGTTATAAATAAGATTAGTAGTAAAGTGGGATATTTATCGAGAGTTTCTGGATGTAACTGAGTTCAAAAAAATTATCTATAATACCATCATTCTTCCAAATTTCTTGTACTGTTCGACTATTCTATATTTAGCAAATAATTCCATTTTTGAAAGACTGCAAATTTTACAAAATAAGTGTATGAGAATAATACTAAATAAAGATAAATATACTCGAATTAGGCAAATGCTTAGCAAATTAAAATGGCTCAATGTAAAAATTTTTATCAAATATCTTGTAATGATATTCATTTATAAAGTAAAAAATAATATATTTCCATCAAGTCTAACTAATTTAACATCATCAAATGTCGACCATCATTTACATAATACCAGAAATAAAGATGACTTCCATTTAATGACCAAAAAGTATAATATATGCTACAACTCTGTATTCCATCAAGGGTTGATTGAATATAATAAATTATACTCAGAGATAAAAGATCAGAAAACTTTGATAAAATTTAAAGTAAAATTGAGAAATCACTTGTTAAATCTACAATTATAGATTGCCCAGCATTTACATCAAACACCATATGGCTTGAATTTACTAGTTCTAAGTTGTTTACAATTATTCTGTTTATGTAGCCAAATGTGCTAAATAAATCCTTCTACTACTACTACTACTACTACTACTACTACTACTGAAACCTACCCTCTTCCAGTCACAAATGCTCCAATCAAGATGCAAATTGTGTAATCGGTCCTTACGGTTTTTCCTCGATATTAGCGGCTTCGTACTCGGGCGACGTGCAAATAACTTCAAATCATTCAATCTTCTACTTATAGTTTTCGTAGAAACACTGACAATTCCTTTCTCCTCATTTCACAAATATTCAAGTTACAAACCAGTCAGTTACATATCGGCCACCCTGTACAAATATGACATTGTAGCATTAATGCTGGATAAATCTCCAATAAACAAAAACAGACCATACCGATTCAACTGTAATCCGTACTTGTTACAGGGAGCTTGCTCCAACGCTCCACATACCGTGGTCAGTGCCTTTTCAGCTGGACGATCCTCCGATAGTGCCGACGACGTTCGGCAAAATGATGGAACTCAGATGCGTAGTGGCGGTTATCAGGCACGGAGACAGAACGCCCAAACAAAAGATGAAAGTTGAGGTTAGACATCCGAAGTTTTTCGAGATATTCGAAAAGTATGACGGTTATAAAAATGGTCATGTGAAATTGAAACGGCCGAAGCAACTGCAGGAGATATTAGATATTGCTAGGTCGTTGCTGGCCGAGATTCAACAGCACGAAGCGGATCCGGAAATTGAGGAGAAACAAGGAAAGTTGGAGCAACTTAAGGCTGTTTTAGAAATGTAAGTTCATCTTTATTTTGTTACGTACAATAGGGGTGTTGCTAATCTTGGAAAAGTGTTAAAACCGATGCATAAAAATACGACAAGGCGTTTCTTTTTATTTTGTTTTTTGTCCGGTTAGGCGAACATTTTTTCGTGTCCGCGTCCGTTCATGAGAATCTCCGTCCAAGAGAGAGTTAATATACTAAGTGACATATAAATCCGAACACCCAGTTTAAATGGTTTTATTTTAATAAAATTTTGTATAAGTACTTAATGAAGCATAATAAGTAAATGATAAAAATTTCAAAATGATTGCACTGCTTTAAAGCCCTTTGGCCTTTAATAATGTGTGGATGCACCCTGATGTGCTACGCATTCTCCAACGCGCCTAGGCATGCTTCTGATCAGGTGGTCAATGTCCTCCTGTGGTATCTCATTCCAGGCAACCACCAACTCCACTCGAAGTGCTTCTAGAGTCTGAGGAGGACGTTGCAAATTGAGCAATCTTCTACCCATCATATCCCACACGTGCTCAATTGGGGATAAGTCGGGAGATCTTGGTGGCCATGGTAACAATGTGACATCATTATGTTGAAAGAAGGCTATTGTGTCTCTTGCAACATGTGGTCGGGCATTATCTTGTTGGAAAGTTGGATCTGCCAGGGTGTCAAGATAGGGTAAAAGATGGGGTTCTAGAACTTCGTGGATATAACGCTGCGCGTTCACGTTACCTCTGATGAAGATTAAAGGTGACCTGGAACCATAAGCTATAGCACCCCAAACCATAACTCCAACAGTGTGAAGAACATGTCTTTCAACAAAAAACTGTGGATTCCTCCTTTCACCACGTCGCCTTCTAACCCTGGCACGACCATCGTGCATGCCTAAACAAAATCGAGACTCGTCACTAAAGACAATACTGTTCCATTCCTGATCCCAGAGTGACCGTTGTCTGCACCACTCAAGGCGATTGCGTCGGTGTTCTCGATTTAAAGGGAGGACCCAGTGTGGCCGGTATGAAAACAAGCCAAAACTTCTCATTCGTCGGTAAACACTTCGCATGCCAATAGGTCTTCCGTGTTCTGCAAACCATTCATTTGCAATGGACCTGGTAGTGGAGAAACGGTCCCTTAAGGCCAATAATCTTAGGCGGCGATCTTCACGGTCTGTTGTTCTACGGCGGCGTCCAGTGCCCCTTGCTCTCGAAGCCATGCCTGACAACACCTAACCACAGTGTCTACACTTCTTTGCACTCTAACTGCAATTGCCCGAAAAGAAGGTCCAGCTTCCCGAAGTCCCACTATACGGCCCCTATCAAACTCACTAAGTTAACGAAATCGTACAGGTCTCCGTACTCTAGTCATCGTAACCGATCGTAAAGGATGTCAAGAACCAAAATCCGCCAACGTTGATTCTTTACTGCGGCTGAAATATTCATTTTTAGAGCGTTAGTGAATTAAAAAAAAGCAGTATAAAAACCGGAATGTCCAACTGATAAGGCTGAAAATTTTTCCACTTGTTATTTACAGTAAGATAAATACATTCACCAACTTTTATTAAAATAAAACCATTTAAACTGGGTGTTCGGATTTATATGTCACTTAGAATACAATGCAAATTATATGACGGGACCATGAGAAACTGTCCGTTTAAAGGAGGTGCCATGTAAGAGGGATGTCCGCGAAGGAGAATTTGACATTTGACTATCGAAAATACTATAATATTATGGCATAAGAAATACCGAGCTAGCGCTATCGTATTTGTTAAATAGAAAGCGGCATGTAAGCTCTGGGCACCGTCTCTAACCTTTTTCCAACGGGGTACCGCAGGGATCAGTACTTGGCCCCCTGCTATTTCTAATACGAGGGATGTCTTTTAAGTTTTGCATATAGAAACATAGTAGACCTCACTTTTTAGTAAACTTAAATTCAAAGTTTCACAACAATATGTGCAGTGTTCTCACTACAGTGAATTTTTAAGTGTTACCAAGTCATTAGAAAAATGGAACTCAACCGAGAACATTTTCGTGCCATAATTTATTACAACTTCAGAGACAATTATCGCAACAAGAATGCCTTGCTGAGTTACTGTCTGTTTTCGGCAACGAAGCGCCACATCAGTCGACAATTTCCCGTTGGTATGGAGAATTCAAACGTGGACGGGTGAGTCTTAGCGACGATTCCAGGGTGGATGCACCAAAAACGGCAGTCACCCAGGAAAACGTCGATGCTGTGCGCAAACTCATCATTGAAGATAGACACGTGACATATCGCGAGATTGAGGCGTCGTTGAAGATCTCGAAGACCTCAATTCAATAAATTTTACATGAAGAATTAGGAGTAAGAAAATTAGTTTCGCGTACCTGTTGACTGAAGAGCAGAAAACAGCCAGGGTTAATTGGTGTCAAAAAACGTTTGACTGTTTCAATTCCGGAAACTCAAAAACTGTGTACAGCATTGTTAGTGCTGATGAATCGGGGATTTACTGTTATGAACTAAAGAATAAACGACAGTCGGCTGTTTGGGTGTTCCAAAGTGAAGAAAAGCCAACAAAAGTCATCCGTTCTCGAAGTCTGTCGAAAAAGATGGTCGCGACATTTGTATCAAAAGCGGGTCATATTGCAACAATTCCTCTTGATGAGCAAAGAACTGTTATTCGGATTGGTATACCACCATTTGTTTGCCAAAAGTCATCACCAAGCTTCAAAAAATCAACCCCGAAAGAAGAATCATCCTCCACCAAGACAATGCAAGCTCGCACACAGCCCAAAAAACAAGGCAGTTATTAACGGAAGAAAACGTGCAATTATTGGACCATCCTCCATATAGTCCCGATCTAAGTCCTAACGAATTCTTTACTTTCCCGAAAATTAAAAACAGACTGCGTGGTCAAAGGTTCCAGTCACCAGAAGAAGCAGTTGACGCATTCAAAAATGCCGTTTTGGATCTGCCAGCAAACGAGTGGAATAAGTGCTTCGAAAATTGGTTCGAGCGCCTGCAATGTGGAGAATACTTCGAAAAACAATAAAGTCATTTAAAACTACCTACCGTATTGTTTTGTTTCCATATGCAAAACTTAAAAGACATCCCTCGTATATTTCTCTTCCTTACTATTCCTAGACGATATCACGTTGCTGTCTAGACCTGGCCAAAGCACGGATGTAGATAGTCTTGAACAAGCCAAAAGATGTTTTTTAACCAACAAATTATAGCTAAATGAAAACAAGACATTTTCCTATGACAGGTGGGTTGTGAGATCTGAACCTAGGAATAATACTTGATACCAAACTAGTCCGGACATCCCACATTGATTATTTACGTTGTAGACTCTATCTCCACCATTAATAATTGTTCTTAGGCAGCTGAGGAGATGCTTGGATAACCGTATTTTCTTTTAGGTATGGTCATTTTTCTGGTATAAATAGGAAAGTTCAAATGAAATATCAACCTAAAGGAAGACCTAGAGGATCTAGTTCAGATGATGGTATGTAGTTTCAATGGGGTATTTAAAAAATTACGGAATATCAGTGTATTCTAAAAATTATACAGGGTGGTCCATAAGTCCTTTGAAATTTCAAATTTGAATAAAATTTAACGGGTGAGCGTGAACGGCGCGGGCGAGGTGGGGGCAGTATCTTCAGTGTCTGGGAATTCAGTCGCCATGGAGTGTTTCACTGGAGCGGATCGTGCTTTTTGTGTGCGCGCGTTTTATCAAAATAATGATTCGGCAACCATTGCGCGGCGTAAATATCGAGAATACCACAATTTTACAAAGTGTCCAACAGCTCAAACGATTAAGAACTGGGTTGCTAAGTTCGAAGAGACTGGTTCGACGTTAGATAAACAGCGGTGGGGTCGACCAAGGACAACTCGTATTGAAGAAAACATCAACATTGTGGCACAGTCTGTTCGTCAAAATCCTACCCAGTCTACTCGTAAGCGTTCCAGTGCACTAAACGTACCCAGAACATCTTTACAGCGGATTTTAAGGAAATATTTACGTCTGCACGCTTACAAAATTCAGTTAGTGCAGGAATTAAAAGATAATGACGCTATTCAGAGACTAAACTTTGCGAATGAAATGTTGAATCGATTTTCTTCGCTCAATAATGTGTTGTTCTCGGACGAGGCTCACTTCCATTTAAACGGGCATGTAAATAAACAAAATTGCCGTTATTGGAGCCCCGAAAATCCAAGGCGTAAGCATCAGAAGCCCTTACACAGCCCTAAAGTTACAGTTTCGGCTGCTATGTCAGCGCATGGCATCGTAGGCCCTTATTTTTTTGAGGACGACAGAGGTCGCGCATTAACTGTTACTTCGGAGTGGTATGTAGCAATGATAGAAGAGTTTTTGACACCAGCGTTGCAGAATTTTCCAGGCTATAATACGCAGACCTGGTTTCAACAGGACGGAGCAACTGCCCACACCTCCAACACTTCTATGCCCGTCGTCTATCAACTTTTTCCCAGCAAAGTAATTTCTCGAAGAGGAGACATTTCCTGGCCACCACGTAGTCCAGATTTGACCCCAATGGACTTCTTTTTATGGGGCTACCTCAAGAGTAAAGTGTACGACACCACTCCGCGATCAGTTGATGTCCTGAAAGAAAATATCCGAAGAGAAATGGCAAGCATTACAGTGTTGACTTGCCGCGCAGTCATCGACAATTTTAGACGTCGTTTATATGAGTGCCGTGATCGTAATGGATTGCATTTAGACGATGTGATTTTTTAAAACATAATTCCCATTCAATAAAGATGATAACAAAATATAATAATTCTTCATAATGTAACTAGTTCGGTTTTATTCCTTTTTATCCAGCTCAAAGGACTTATGGGCCACCCTGTATATTTTTACTACTGTGAGTGGGAAATCTCTTACATAAAATTTCGCGGCACAGTTGATATAAGCCGCGTTGAAATATACCTTTGGGTTTTGTCAGTTCTATCTCAATCCGGAATATTTTTTTCCTATAGGTCGTGGAGTCCAAGATAAGGTGTAACTTCCTCTACAAAGTTTGGATTTTTTCATAATTCCAAATATCTGTAAGACGAAGTACGTTACAGACAAGGCATATTTTTTTTCTATTTCAGTAGACAAACCTGCAGAACCGTCGCTGGTTTTAATTTTGAAATGGGGCGGTGAGTTAACTCCAGCCGGTCGAATTCAAGCAGAGGAACTCGGTAGAATATTTCGTTGCATGTATCCCGGAGGACAAGGTAGACACTTAGCCGGTTGGTATTCATGTGCTTCTTATATCCATTATTTTATTTGAATAGGGTTATGGGCTTTAAAATGGGCATTAATATTGGAGTATTTTCTAAATATCATATGTCGCTGTTTCGGTATCTAGAATCAAAATTTATTTGGATTAAATTAGCTTCGGGAACAATATTTGTATATAAACATGCTTTATTTTTGATGCACAATGTAAAAATGTAATTGAATATTAAAGCCACCTGAAAAACCCGTTTAATTATAAAAACCTCTACCTTTTAGCTATAATATACTAAGTGACATATAAATCCGAACACCCAGTTTAAATGGTTTTATTTTAATAAAAGTTGGTGAATGTATTTATCTTACTGTAAATAACAAGTGAACAAATTTTCAGTCTTATCAGTTGGACATTCCGGTTTTTATACTGCTTTTTTTTCATTCACTAACGCTCTAAAAATGAATATTTCAGCCGCAGTAAAGAATCAACGTTGGCGGATTTTGGTTCTTGACATCCTTTACGATCGGTTACGATGCCTAGAGTACGGAGACCTGTACGATTTCGTCAACTTAGTGAGTTTGATAGGGGCCGTATAGTGGGACTTCGGGAAGCTGGACTTTCTTTTCGGGCAATTGCAGTTAGAGTGCAAAGAAGTGTAGACACTGTGGTTAGGTGTTGTCAGGCGTGGCTTCGAGAAGGCCGTACGCAAAGAGCAAGGGGCACTCGACGCCGCCGAAGAACAACAGACCGTGAAGATTATTGGCCTTAAGGGACCGTTTCTCCACTACCAGGTCCATTGCAAATGAATGGTTTGCAGAACAAGGAAGACCTATTGGCATGCGAAGTGTTTACCGACGAATGAGAAGTTTTGGCTTGTTTTCATACCGGCCACACTGGGTCCTCCCTTTAACTCGAGAACACCGACGTAATCGCCTTGAGTGGTGCAGACAACGGTCAGTCTGGGATCAGGAATGGAACAGTATTGTCTTTAGTGACGAGTCTAGATTTTGTTTAGGCATGCACGATGGTCGTGCTAGGGTTAGAAGGCGACGTGGTGAAAGGAGGAATCCACAGTTTTTTGTTGAAAGACATGTTCATCACACTGTTGGAGTTATGGTTTGGGGTGCTATAGCTTAAGGTTCCAGGTCACCTTTAATCTTCATCAGAGGTAACATGAACGCGCAGCGTTATATCCACGAAGTTCTAGAACCCCATCTTTTACCCTATCTTGACATCCTGGTAGATCCAACTTTCCAACAAGATAATGCCCGACCACATGTTGCAAGAGTCACAATAGACTTCTTTCAACATAATGATGCCACATTGTTACCATGGCCACCAAGATCTCCCGACTTATCCCCAATTGAGCACGAGTGGGATATGATGGGTAGGAGATTGCTCAATTTGCAACGTCCTCCTCAGACTCTAGAAGAACTTCGAGAGGAGTTGGTGGTTGCCTGGAATGAGATACCACAGGAGGACATTGACCACCTGATCAGAAGCATGCCTAGGCGCGTTGGAGAATGCGTAGCACATCAGGGTGCATCCACACATTATTAAAGGTCAAAGGGCTTTAAAGCAGTGCAATAATTTTGAAATTTTTATCATTTACTTATTATGCTTCATTAAGTACTTACACAAAATTTTATTAAAATAAAACCATTTAAACTGGGTGTTCGGATTTATATGTCACTTAGTATAGTAATACTTGATGTTCAACAGGTATGATATATTTATACAGTGTAAGGTCATACGTTTCTAGTATACTAAATTCCTCGTGAATTGTTACTCTGCACTGTGGTCGAAGAACTATCGTAGCATATTCTTGGTCATTGATGATATTACATTTTCAATTTATTTGCAATACTATCACTTGTCAAAAATTATATGTTGAGATAATCGCTGTTTTATTTTGACTGATATTTTCGTAGGTAAAATACAGGGTCTTAATTAAGTATGAATCATAAATATAACAAATGATTCTTTGAGTAATTTTACGACAAAAAGTTCCTATAGTCAACGCCAAACAAAGTGGCGTGCACGTCATCAAGGTGGGTGTGTTGAAAAATTTACATTGTTGCCAAACTTTTTGTAAAATAATAAAATTTATTATATACATATCTAGGTTTATAAGCAATATTAACCTCAAATGAGAACAAAAATAATAGTATAATAAAATTATAGATCTGTACTTGCATAATCATTAAGTATGACAATTATTGATCAGATGACACTATGAAACTACCATATTTAATTGATAGCTTAAAGGTACTGAATAAAAATCCAAATGGGGTCCTCCAAATTTTATGCATGGTATTTATTTTACAGAATTCATACAGAAAAATGCATTCTAAAATTAGGTAAGCTACTGGTGTAAGCTTTTTCTGTACAATAAAGTTAGTTGGAGTTTCTTTCTTCAGCGCTGTCTGAATCTGAATCTTCATCACTCTCAAAGTTGATTATTAAAGGTTCGATGTCTGGTCGATTAAAAATTCGTTCTCTTTCATACCATTTAAAAATTTCTTGCTCAGTATGTCGAACACTATTTTTCCACATGTCTGGGGTAACCGTTTGTAGAGCCTCGTTCCACATATCCAAACAGTCTTTTTCACTGTTACCATCTCTACCAATATGTCTGTTATAGTAACCTTTTGCTATGCCCCAAATTAACTCAATAGGGTTAAATATACAATGGTAAGGAGGCAGACGAAGAACTTTGTGCCCATGTTGTTCCGCCAATTCATCAATCACGTATATTTTAGGTGGTTTGTTTCTAAAAAAGCAGTTATTTTAAGAATAGGAATAAACAAAAGAAATATAAACTGTCGACCAAAATATATATAATTAAGAAGCATTATGTACCGAGCAACAATACTCAATAGCTCTGTTTTAAACATTGTGTTTAAAAATGGTATGTTTTGATTTGTCAACCAGTCTTGGATATTTTTTTTTGTCCATGCATTGTTGGGCACTTTGTTCAATATCATGCTGTGATAAGGGGCGTTATCCAGTATAATCATAGATGGACTCTCCAATTTTTCTAATAACTGATGTTGAAACCATTTCAAAAAATTGCCCTGGTTCATCTCTCCATGGTAATCGCTCAATTTTGTTTTCGAATAAAATATCGCTTCACTACCCTCAATAAACCCATTTTCATTTCCAGCATGTAATATAATGTATCTAAAATATATTAGTTTTAAATTTTATAGTGCAAATTGTGTAAAAGTACATACCTTTTACCATCTGTTTTAATAGCTTTCACGCTTTTTTTGTTTCCATTTTGCCAAGAGCGACCTATGGTCCCATTTTGAAATATCCAAGTTTCATCGAGGAAGAGAAACTGGTATAAGGCCTCAACCTTGGCTTGATTGTATTGCCTTAGAAATTCCACCCTTTTCAAAGCTATACTTGGTAGTTCCATGAGCCCTCGTCGCGGATTGTCCTTAAGCCACTTAAATCCAAGATCTCTAAGCAACCGCCTTAAAGACGTGGCACTACCATCAAATAATGCCCTATCTCTTAATCGAGACCATAAAGTTTGTATCGTAACTTGTTCTTCTGAAACCATGTGTAATATGACATTATAATTTAGTTAACAAATTAATGCAAATTTCTGATAAGTTATTATAATAAGATCTTACTTTTGTGATACATATTATAGATCACTTCTCGAATGGCACTTGTATCCAATGTCGCTGTGTTGGTTACAGGTTTAATATAACTCCGCTTTTTCTTGGGCGATTTGCATCACTTTTCACACCCTCGGAAATACGACTAACTGTCCTTAAACTAATTTTTAAAGCAGCAGCAACACGCTACAAAAAATGAAATAAAATTTCACTATTATTAATATACATTACATATAATTATTAGTAACCTACCTCTTGAACAGCATTTAAAGGCAACAAAGGCCCGTTGTTGTCCCTTTCTTGCTCAAAGTAGTGCATTAACGAGGCCACGAGTTCCTTACACCGACTATTTAACTGTTTGGGCATCTTTATATACCAAAATTGCCTTTATCTACTCGTAAAATGAATAATTTTGTTTTGAAACAAACAGTTGTTGATTTACAGTATGCGGGGCCAAAGGATTTATAAAGATTTGAAATGCCACAAATTGATTCAGTGTCAAAATTAATACAAATGTCAGTTCCCAGTTTAAATAAGTTTCAAGGTGACAATGTGTCAACGCTGCGAAATCGGTTTAGTGCGTTTACATGTCGATAAGTGATTGGAGCGTTTGCAAAACATTTTATTTCGCATAATGCGTCTAAATTTATCAGAAAGCAACTTATGTGATATTTTAATAACAATGTTTATATGACTATTAACCATAATAAGAGAGTAATGACCATTTTACAATTTATATATCACATTAATATGAAACTGCAATAGAGCAATTGTTTGTGATAGAAACCTAGGCATTAGGTCGGGGAATTTTTATCGTGATGACGTGCACGCCACTTTGTTTGGCGTTGACTATATAAACATGGTCCGCAAATTCTTCGTTTTGAAGATACAGGGTGTTGAAATTAAAAAAACTCTTGATAATTGTTTACTATTAGTTTAGTAATATTCATTAGTTTAGATGTTAATGTAATATAATTTAATTTAGTTTTTATTTGTTGTTACATAATTAATAATTATAAAAAAAATAATAATTTTCAAAAGAAATGTTCCTTGTGTGGTCCAGGGATATGCAAAAAGTGGACTTTTTTCTCGAAAACTAAGCAAGTTACGAAAATAATTTAAGAGACGAAAAAGTTGCATTTCTATTTTCTTAAGTCGAAAAACGTACTAAAAATTGCACAAAAGCCAGTGGCGTATATTTTTTGTCACAAATATTCGGTCGATACGCCACTGTGCTTCATAAATTAAATCAAGTTAGGGCTAAATTAGCACCTTAATTTTATAAAAACCATCGCCAAATTTCAACAAAATTAGGTAAAGGATATTTAAAAAATGTACGAAAAACAATTTTTTTTTTTCAATTTAAATGTATCTTGAGAACGAAGAATTTACGGAGCTATGTTTATTAAACGTTTTCTTTTAAAATTGCTCAAAGAATCGTCTGTTAAATTTATAGTACATACTTAATTAACACCCTGTATAATAGTGGCTTAACTTCATACAAGGGATGTCTTTTAAGTTTTTCATATGGAATTAAAACAACACGGTAGGTAGTTTTAAATGACTTTATTGTTTTTCGAAGTATTCTCCACGAAGATTAATACACATCTGCATGCGATCGAACCAATTTTCGAAGCACTTATTCCCCTCTTTTGCTAGCAGATCCTAAACGGCATTTTTGAATGCTTCAACTGCTTCTTCTGGTGACTGGAACCTTTGACCACGCAGCCTGTTTTTAATTTTCGGGAAAGTAAAGAAATCGTTAGGACTTAGATCGGGACTATATGGAGGATGGTCCAATAATTCCACGTTTTCTTACGTTAAATACTGCCTTGTTTTTTGGGCTGTGTGCGAGCTTGCATTCTCTTGGTGGAGGATGATTCTTCTTTCGGGGTTGGTTTTTCGAAGCTCGGTGATGACGTTCGGCAAACAAATGGTGGTATACCAATCCGCAGTAACAGTTCTTTAGTCATTAAGAGGAATTGTTGCAATATGACCCGCTTTTGACACAAATGTCACGACCATCTTTTTCGAAACACTTCGAGAACGGCTTTTCTTCACTTTGGAACACCAAGACAGCCGGATGTCGTTTATTTTCTGGTTCATAACAGTAAATCCACGATTCATCACCACTAACAATGCTGTACACGTTTTTTGAGTTTCCGGAATTGAAGCGTTTTTTGACACCAATTAACCCTGGCTGCTTTCTGCTGTTCAGTCAACAGGTGGGGTATCCAACGAGAAACTAATTATCTTACTCCTAATTCTTCATGTAAAATTTTTTGAATTGTGGTCTTTGACATCTTCAAGGACGCCTCAATCTCGCGATATGTCACATGTCTATGTTCAATAATGAGTTTGCGCACAGCATCGACGTTTTCCTGGGTGACTGCCATTTTTGGTGCATCCACCCTGGGATCGTCGCTAAGACTCACCCGTCCACGTTTGAATTCTCCATACAAACGGGAAATTGTCGACTGATAGCAAAAGGCATTCTTGTTGCGATAATTGTCTCTGAAAGTTTTAATAAATTATGGCGCGAAAATGTTCTCGATTGGGTTCCATTTTTCTAATGACTTGGTGACACTGTAGTGAGAACACTGCACGTATTTTTGTGAAACTTTGAATTTAAGATTACTAAAGGGTGAGGTTAAGATTCAGTACTGACGTTCGATCCGCGCTGCCTACTATGTTTCTATATGCAAAACTTAAGAGACACCCCTCGTAATCATGTGTTGCACATTAGATTTTGAGTTGAAATAGTTTTCCACGCGTGTTAGTCGCCATATAGTGATGTATTTAATCCACTTATCTCAATTTTTCTCACTTGCGATAGTCTTACATCCACAGTATGATTCTTTGGCCATTTTGCATAAAAAAAATATGGTTATCGATATTCTCTGACCCAAAAAAACAATATAAGTTTTGATTCCATGCACTAATATGCCTGTTGTAGTTTTAACAAATTCACATCTGATAATTCGTATTAATAAACCTGTCGCTAAGAACGGAATACTTGACCATTTGACTCTCAAAGTCTTGTACTTAATCGATGCATTCACAAAATCACAAGTACATTTTTTTCTTTCGTTTGCCCATTACTCTAATCGCACTCTATTATTTTATGTTGCTTACATGTTATTTTTATTTTGGTTGGTGTATCACAGCACTGAATTGTTCATTTATGTGATAGATATTGTTCTCTAGCAGAATTGAATGTATGTTTCTATATGAATGTGCAAGATAGGTGTTTTAAGGTGTTAGTCTTTAGTTATGTCATGAGGTACAGTTCGAATCAGTATGTAGTAGACTAACTATAGTAGGTCAAGAAAGCATTTTTTTCTTGAATGTCGAAAACGAAAATATGAATTTTCGGTAACTACATTTATTTGAAAACTAACATAAAATAGTAATTTTTGATGGCAGTAGAACAAACAAATTAAAAATAATAGAAATTATGAAATTCAAGGATTAGAAAAGTATTTTTATCCTGAATGAAATGTACAGCTAGCTATTTCTGTTAGCCAAACTGTGAAACATGGTGGAGAGAGCGTTTTAGTCCGAGTCTCCTCCCTTAAACCAAGATCTATTTCTAGCCAAGTGTACTTATTTTGGATTGATAAACGGGCACTACGTTTCCTAGCGTCATATCGTAAAAACACTTAGCAACAGGTGGTTCTCGGCACAAGTATTTCTAATGTACAGAATGTTGCTTCAAGGATGCCACAAGGTTCAGCTCTAGGACCTCTCTTGTTCTTGATATACAGGGTGGCGCATCGAAAACGAAACAGACGCATTTACTGGCAGCTCAGTTTTTTTTTGAAAACGCTCAGACCCATCGATTTTGTTTTCGAGGGGGACACAAGTTTGGCAAAAAATCACGTTAACACATGCAGCCCTCTGGGCGGGGGTGACACCAACCCTAAAATCTTAAATGGAAAGGGAGGTCGAGTGATACCTTATTTTAAAGGTCTTTCAATGCCCTTTATAATGATATAAAATTAATGTACTTCAGTTCAGTAGTTTTGAAGATTTATTGATTTAAAGCTTAAAGTAGACTTTAGTAGGTACATCAGATTAGTTTGTCCTACTTTCAGAAGAAATTTGACTGAAAGAATTTACTTAATATTAAATGCTTTTCGTCACTACGCCCATGGTTTATTTATCACTTTGTTGTTGGAAATAGCTATTGGAGCGTTTTTTTGTGGCAAAAAAGTTATTTCTTGAAGAAAGATAAGGAAATATCTCGTACTTATTTTAAATACGAATTTAGTACATAGTTTGCGATTGATTTGACGAAACTTTGTTGCTAAAATAAGTACTACCTGGAAATTTGTCCGGTAAAATGTATTTGGAATTACTGGAAAACGCCATAGATAATGCATTAACAGCCATAATTGAAAATCAGAATGATCGGCGGTACATTGCGAATAGGTTGATGTTAAAAAAAGGATGGTGCCCCACCACATTACGCATTACGTGTTCGACAATATTTAGATCAGACGTTTCCAGATCGATGGATTGGTAGAAGAGGTGCCATTGAATGGCCCCCAAGATCGCCAGATTTATCACCTTTGGATTTCCTTACGTAGGGTCATTTAAAAAGCAAAATCTATGCTACTTAGCCAACATAATTAGAAGACCTGCGACAAAGGATTGTGAATGAGTGCCTTCAAATTACTCCTCAAATATTGCAAAATGTGCGGCAACGTTGTGAGCAAAATCTTTATTATAGCTTGGAGAGTCATGGTGGCCATTTTCAACATTTACTTGCCTAACGGGTCAGTTCATTCTTCATTTTTAAATTACTTTGCTGCCAAATGTATTGATCTCCACTAATGATGATGTATTAGTTTTATTTAAGCTTTAAATCAATAAATCTTCAAAACTACTGAACTGAAATACATTAATTTTATATCATTATAAAGGAAATTGAAAGACCTTTAAAATAAGGTATCACTCGACCCCCCTTTCCATTTAAGATTTTGGGGGTGGTGTCACCCTCGCTTAGGGGCTGCACGTGCTAACGTGATTTTTTGACAAACTTGTGTCCCCCTCGAATACAAAATCGACGGGTCAGAGCGTTTTTCTAAAAAAAAATTAAATTGGCTGAGGCTAAAATTAATATTGATCTCTAATATCATTAATAACGATTCTTCTTTTAATAACATAAAACTCAATACTCAAAAGTCAAGTGGTGTTCGTTTTTGCAAGAAAGAAAAACAAGCCTGGGTCTGAAAATAGGCACCAAGGGCTTAAAATTTAATGATGTATGCAAACATTTGGATCTACTTATAGACGAAGACCTACTTACTAATAAAGGACTGCTCTTTCTAATAGTGCATTGGTGCTGGTTTTAACTAGTATAGTTAATGCGCATCTCAAAATATACAGCGTGACTCTCGTACCAACAGGCACTTGCTCTGATTTAAAACAAAAAAGCGATTATGTGAATCATCAGTTATTTCCAAAATTTCATATGGAATCGTATTATCCTTGCTTAGATCAAACGTTCGCCTACAGACTACAAAAAATTCAAAATTCTTAAAGTATTAAAACAAAAAAAAAAGATTTTTCGTAAATATCTTAAATATCCTATACCTAATTTTAAGAAGATAATTTAGCACTAATTTGATTAAATTTATTAAGTATCGAGAGGGATCTGAATGAATATTTGTGATAAAAAAATATTCACCACTGACTTTGTGCAATTTTTTTTATGTTGTTAAGCAAATAGAAATACAATTTGTTTGTCTCTTGAAATTTTTTCGTACCTTGCTTGGTTTTCGAGAAAAAAAATTGCATATCCCTGGACCAAACATGGAAAAATTTCTTTACAAATTATTATTTTTTTATAATTTTGTATTACTAATTATTAATTGTTGTTGTTTCGTAATTAGTATTAAAAAATTATAAAACAATAATTTCCAAAAGAAACGTTTCGCCATATTCCTTGTGTGGCCCAGAGAGAGCAATTAAGTGGACTTTATTTTGGATGTTAGTTTTCAAATAAATTGAGCTTCAAAAAATGCATGTTTTCGGTGTTGAGATTCCAGGAAAAAACAGGGTGTGCCAATACTTTGTTGACCCACTATATATTGTAGGTGAATATGCTGGTGCTCAAGGCCTAGGTCTCCTGAGGCTTCACTCAACATTCCGCCACGATTTGAAAATATACGCTTCGGACGAAGGCAGGGTGCAAATGACTGCCGCCGCATTCGCCAAAGGACTGTTGGCTCTTGAAGGAGAACTGACGCCTATTTTAGTACAAATGGTTAAAAGCGCAAACACTAACGGGCTTTTGGACAACGACTGTGATAGTAGCAAGTATCAGAATATGTGAGTATAAGAGATCTGTAAAAGAAAACAAAATTTTTGTTTGTTTAAGATTTGTTTAGCATGGATACTACAATCACACTTTTAAAAACTACAAGAATTACGTAACATCCAGATATACTAAGTGACATATAAATCCGAACACAGAGATGTGCTACGCATTCTCCAACGCGCCTAAGCTTGCTTCTGATCAGGTGGTCAATGTCCTCCTGTGGTATCTCATTCCAGGCAACCACCAACTCCTCTCGAAGTACTTCTAGAGTCTGAGGAGGACGTTGCAAATTGAGCAATCTCCTACCCATCATATCCCACACGTGCTCAATTGGGGATAAGTCGTGAGATCTTGGTGGCCATGGTAACAATGTGACATCATTATGTTGAAAGAAGTCTATTGTGACTCTTGCAACATCTGGTCAGGCATTATCTTGTTGGAAAGTTGGACCTGCCAGGGTGTCAAGATAGGGTAAAAGATGGGGTTCTAGAACTTCGTGGATATAACGCTGCGCGTTCATGTTACCTCTGATGAAGATTAAAGGTGACCTGGAACCATAAGCTATAGCACCCCAAACCATAACTCCAACAGTGTGATGAACATGTCTTTCAACAAAAAACTGTGGATTCCTCCTTTCACCACGTCGCCTTCTAACCCTGGCACGACCATCGGGCATGCCTAAACAAAATCGAGACTCGTCACTAAAGACAATACTGTTCCATTCCTGATCCCAGAGTGACCGTTGTCTGCACCACTCAAGGCGATTACGTCGGTGTTCTCGAGTTAAAGGGAGGACCCAGTGTGGCCGGTATGAAAACAAGCCAAAACTTCTCATTCGTCGGTAAACACTTCGCATGCCAATAGGTCTTCCGTGTTCTGCAAACCATTCATTTGCAATGGACCTGGTAGTGGAGAAACGGTCCCTTAAGGCCAATAATCTTAGGCGGCGATCTTCACGGTCTGTTGTTCTACGACGGCGTCCAGTGCCCCTTGCTCTTTGCGTACGGCCTTCTCGAAGCCATGCCTGACAACACCTAACCACAGTGTCTACACTTCTTTGTACTTTAACTGCAATTGCTCGAAAAGAAAGTCCAGCTTCCCGAAGTCCCACTATACGGCCCCTATCAGACTCACTAAGTTGACGAAACCGTACAGGTCTCCGTACTCTAGGCACCGTAACCGATCGTAAAGGATGTCAAGAACCAAAATCCGCCAACGTTGATTCTTTACTGCGGCTGAAATATTCATTTTTAGAGCGGTAGTGAATTAAAAAAAAAGCAGTATAAAAACCGGAATGGTTGAGAATTTTTTCACTTGTTATTTACAGTAAGATAAATACATTCACCAACTTTTATTAAAATAAAACCATTTAAACTGGGTGTTCGGATTAATATGTCACTTAGTATAATAAAATTTGATATATTATTTTAGGTGCAAAGCACGTCTACACGAACTTATGCAACTAGATAGAGATTTTACGCATGAAGATAAAGAAAAAATAAATCCCTGTCATTCTTCGAGTATAGCTGATGCATTGGAGTTCGTAAAAAATCCGGTAAAATGTTGTAAACACGTTCACGAGCTCATCAAAAACCTGATGGAAATCGTACAAGTGAAAAAGGAAGATTTGAAAACAAAAGGTATGTCAATCTCTGCTAGATACTATTGTAATGTTACACGACCTTTCACAAAAAAAAATGGGAAGTATGACATATTATATATTTGAAGACGCACCAGGGCAGGCAGTGTTCAATGAGTTTAAATTGTCGGATTTCTTTATTACATATTTTTTTACATATTTGATCCACCACCTCGGATTCATTTTTCTCATTATTTTTAGGGTACTCATTTTTAGTCATTTCACAAATTAATTATAGAATATTCACATTATACCATTTTATCTAAACAATGTCCTACCTTGATAATTTTAACGTGTTATAGATGCTATACTATATCACGGAGAAACGTGGGAGCTGATGGGTCGAAGGTGGGGAAAAATAGAAAAAGATTTTTTCACCAAGAATAAAAATTTTGATATCAGCAAAATCCCGGACATCTACGACTGCATTAAGTATGATTTACAACATAATCAGCATACGTTGCAGTTTGAACAGGCCGAGGAACTGTACACATACGCTAAGTATCTTGCTGATATTGTGATTCCACAAGTAGGTGCTTTTCATTTTATCCCAGGTTAACTATTCTCATAGTGAGCGTCGTTTACGAAATATTGCAACGATATGAAATTCAAAAAATCATATTATGAGTACGTCTATTTTCATTAGGAAACTTTAATTCATTACTAGGATTTGATTTTATAAATTATTATAGAATCATTATAGTTGAAGGATTTTTAGTGAATTAAGGGTAGTTAAACTATTATATCAGTAGGCTCAGATCCCCTATAGAGCTAGAGACCGCAAAGACATTCCTTATTTTAAAATACTTGAAAGTTTCTCTGTGCATGTCCTCAACACGGGTTCTTACGACTATCAAATTTGGAGTGTTTACTTTGGTAAATAACAGGTAGATAGGGTGTTTAAAAATAGCACCACAAATTCGTTAAAGTAAAAATCCCGGTTTTTCATACAGGGTGGTCCAACGAAAGGGTCGCATCCCTATTTGTGACTCTCCTGATATACAGGGTGTTTCAGTTTATCGTTGCATAACTTTAAGATACGATAGAACTTTTAAAATTAACGCATAAAGTCTATATAAACATGGGTCGAAAAATGCGTGGCTTCCGAAATACAAGGTGTTTAAATTTACTTTCTAAAATAGTTTTTTTTAAATATTTCGAACAATATTTGATGTATAACAGTGAAAATTGGTATACAAGGGTTTTTTGGTACGACAAAACGAACCATGGGCATAGTTTTACTGTTGCCGCTAGAGGGCGCTCTCTACTGTACCTGTAGTGTATTAAAATGACCGAAATTTTTTTCTTAGTGCAATTTTTTGCTTTTTGAATAAAAAAGTGATTCTTCGCACTTTTCAACATAAAAAAGCTCTCTTGTGAATTTTCGTTATAGTTAGCCGTTTTTGAGATATTTCGATTTTTAAGGTTCGATGCATTTTTAATTATTTATGATAAAATAAAGCCTGGAACGTTTTTTTGCAATTGTGAATGCACGAAATTTAGTTTCTTTTACCTGTTTTTTTTTGTAAGTTTTATAAAAATGCCATTTTTATTCTCCAATCAAGAGTTTGCGGATATTCATTTTGAGTATGGCTTTGTAAATGGAAACGCAGCAGAAGCAGCCAGAGAATACGCACGAAGATTTCCAAACAGACGACATCCAACTCGCTTAGTATTTGTAAGAGTGCATCGCCAAATAATTGAAAATGGTTTTGGAAATCTCCAAAGGGATCAAAACATAAATGTTCGTCACCGCAGATTTACCAGTATGATTCTGCGTGAGTTTGATAGAGATCCGACCACAAGTGTTAGGAGAGTTTCTGGCGCCTTGGGAATTTCAGCAAGCCATGTTCACCGCGTTCTTAGAAATGACCATAGACGTCCTTACCATTTGCAACCTGTGCAAGGACTACAGCCAGGGGACGGAGAACGAAGAATCACATTTTGTCTGTCGATTCTTGATAGAACTGATAATAATAGGGAGTTTTTAAGTAACGTTTTATGGACCGATGAGTCATGCTTCACTAGACGTGGAGTAATAAATTTTCATAATCAACATATTTGGTCGCATGAAAATCCGCATTCAGTTCGGGAAAGAAATTTTCAGCATGAATTTAGTGTGAACGTGTGGATTGGTATCTACCGTAATCGACTATTTCGACCCTACCTTTTTCCTGCAAGGTTAAATGCCGCGACCTTCTTGGAATTTTTAAAGGCTGAACAAGCAAATATGTGGGATGATGTTATGTTAGATTTAAGAAGATTGGTCTGGTTCCAGCTTGATGGTTGTCCAGCTCATTATTCGAGAATAGTTAGAAACTGGCTGGACGAAAATTATCCAGAAAGATGGATCGGCCGTGGAGGACCAGTCGCCTGGCCTCCGCGATCCCCTGACCTAAATCCATTAGATTTCTTTGTGTGGGGATTTCTAAAAGAAAAAGTGTACCAGACTCCCGTAACCACAAGAGATATGCTAATAGAAAGAATCAGGAATGCGTGTGATGAAATAAGGCCTTATTTGAATAATGCTATACCACGTTCGATCATTTGTAGATGTGAATTGTGTATTGAACAATTGGGCTTACATTTCGAGCAACTACTTTAGATTTTGTATGTTTGTCCTAACTATCCAATAGCATTTTTGTTGTAAATAATTTAATTTGTTAAAAATAATATTGGAAAATTAAACAAATTAATATTCTGTTTTTTTGTGTTTATTTGGAGTTAGGAATTATTGCTGTGTTTAAAAACACAATCTAAACGATCATCTTAATTACTTGTAATGCCCAAATCGAAAATGTAAAAAAATATTATTTTCCCATAAATAATTAAAAATGCATCGAACCTTAAAAATCGAAATATCTCAAAAACGGCTGACTATAACGAAAACTCACAGGAGAGCTTTTTTATGCAGAAAAGTGCGAAGAATCAGTTTTTTATTCAAAAAGCAAAAAATTGCACTAAAAAAATTTTTCGGTCATTTTAATACACTACAGGTACAGTAGGGAGCGCCCTCTAGCGGCTACAGTAAAACTATGCCCATGGTTCGTTTTGTCGTACCAAAAAACCCCTGTTTACCAATTTTCACTATTATACATATACATCAAACATTGTTCGAAATATTTAAAAAAAATTATTTTAAAAAGTAAATTTAAAAACCCTGTATTTCGGAAGCCACGCATTTTTCGACCCATGTTTATATAGACTTTATGCATTAATTTTAAAAGTTCTATCGAATCTTAAAGTTATGCAACGATAAACTGAAACACCCTGTATTTTGGGAAAACGCTTGGATTTCTAGGGGGAATTTTTTTCAGTCCGAGTCCGAGCGTTTTCTTCAAAATATACCAGGAGAGTTACGACCTTATCGTTGGGCCACCCTGTAAGTATTCAATGTACAGTCCTTCACTTATGGGCATTCTTTAAGTAGAATAAACGACGATCTTTTTCTTTATTTTCGAGAATAGTGAACCTGGGGTTTTACAATTTTTGTTTTTCAACTTCATGATAATCATCATCGCCACTTAATAATAAATGTTTGTTTAATGATATACTTGAAATTAAATTACCAAACTTCCTAAATATATTTTTGTTTGAAGCATGGTGCTATTAACAAGATTGCAGGATCCCTATTTTGTTTAACGCTTCATAGCAAGTCTTGTTAGAAGTTTTGAAAGCAATATTATTAACAATAACTTTCACTTGAGCATTCGATTTGCTGCAAATTTAGTGTTTTTTTTTGTCCGAAGATCGTATCCATTCCCATGTTTTTCTTTCGTTTGTGATTCCCGTCCGACGATCGATAATTCCGTTTTAACGATGTCATACCCTTTCTTTTCCTCTTCTTACGGAATAAGGAATACGGCTTGACGGCCCAAGAGAAGTTGACTATCGGCCAGGGAATTTGTACGCCGCTCCTGAAGAAGATCAAGGCGGATCTGCAGAGGAATATCGAAGAGTCCGGCGACGAAACGGTCAACAGATTGAATCCGAGATATTCTCACGGAGTGTCAAGTCCGGGACGACACGTCAGGACGAGGCTGTATTTTACCAGCGAGAGCCACATTCATTCGTTGATCACAGTATTGAGGCACGGAGGATTACTGGATGTAAGTAGTGTGATTCGCTTAACCTGTGGCCTCATTTTTTGATGAAATTATATACAGGGTGTCCCACGTAGAACTGTCGCGATACTTCCAAAATGATGGGGCTTTTAGTCGTATCAAGTTGTTTATTTTGTATGTTTTTTAATTTTTGAAATCTTTGCGAGATTCTAAATCAGGGTGACAGGTAAATAGGTGTAAAACATTTTAGGAGGTGATAGTACAGCTCCTTTGCTATCAAAATTAGTATATAATACCATACCCTATATTCAAAGGTTAAAAAGTTATGGAAGATTTAATTTTTTTTAAAAAACAACCCAGATTACAGAGTAAAATAGTTGAGATGAAAAAAAGGTGGTGATTAAACATTCTTTTTTTGGTGGTTTCAGGTTATTATTTAAATAAATAATTCTCATAAATTAAAATACATATGAAAACACTACTGAAAACGTATTTATTTTCATTTAAATGTTAAATGAAAAATTTTATTTTCAACTTTCACATTAAGAAGTCTTTTTTTCAAAAAAATCATAATAAAGAAAATGTACAAATAACTGCAAAAACTTCCTCGTTTCATTAGGTTTCTAAAATGGTATAATAACATAACAGTAAGTAAACCATTTAACAAAACAATATTACTTTGCTAGAAAGGACGGCTAAGCGCATTTCATTGTACTGAGCAGGTAAACCGAGTCTTTCATGGTTCGACCCTTTTTGTTATTTTTTGTGCCCTGTGCCGTTATTCGGGTTTAAGTATTCGGAATCTGTCGTCGATCCTCGGAAGCAAGGTCTGCGTGTGTTATGAATTGTCACAGCTGACGGATCAAGGAAAGGGAACTAACGCTTAGGTTAGTTAGTAGATTATCAGCCTTTAACGCGGTAGGACGTACTTTTACTTTTTCGATCAGTTTTAATAATGGCGAGTTACCGTAACGAAGAATACGCTGATATTCTTTTTTGTTATGGTTTAAGTGATGGAAATTCCGTTGAAGCCAGGCGAGAATACGAAAACCGTTTTCCGAATCGGCGAATACCGAGTCATCGAGTATTTGCTTCTGTGTACCAACGCGTCAAGGAAAGTGGACAGGTTCATGAGAGACGTCATGATGCTGGTAGACCTCGGTTGTTTGACGACGAAGATCGAGAGGCAATACTGGAATGCTACGGCAGAGACCCGACGACATCTACACGAGTTATAGCAAAGCAGCTTGGTTTAACTCAGTAGAAAGTTTGGTTCGTTTTGCATTCGGCGAGACTTTACCCTTTTCATTACACACCGGTTCAAGTATCAGAAGAAGGAGATCCCGCAAGAAGAATTGATTTTTGTCATGCTTCATCGGGATCAAGAAGAAAACGACTATTTAACTAAAATATTGTGGACCGACGAGTCTAAGTTTGACAGAGAGGGGACAACAGATTATCACAACTTACATTATTGGGCCCCACGAGAGGCAAATCCCCACATGGCAAAGCCAATAGCCCATCAAAGAAGATTTTCGGCAAACGTATGGATGGGAATCATTCATACGTATCTAATTGGACCAGTTTTGTTGCCTGACAACCTGAATGGCGATTCCTATGAAAAGTTTTTGAGATCCGAACTCTGGGAGTATGTCGAAGACCTGCCTCTGAATATCAGGATGCAGATGATCTACCAACACGATGGCTGTCCCGCGCATTTCCGTCTGGGTGTTAGACAGTGGCTGGACGAGAAATATCCTTGTCGCTGGATTGGCCGAAGTGGACCGACACCGTGGCCAGCGAGGCGCCCAGATTTAACACCGTGTGACTATTATTTATGGGGGCACATGAAGTCACTGGTGTACGCTGAGCCCATAGACACTCTTGCACAGTTGAAAGAAAGAATTATTGCTGCTGCTGACACTATCAGAGGACAACTAACTGGCCGCATCACGCGTACCAACATGAGAAAAAGACTACGGGCTTGCATAAGAAACGGCGGGCGTCAGTTCGAACAACAATTGCAATGAATTTTACCTTCATTTCATTATTGTATTTTCCTTACCAATTGTAGTAACTTTTAGTCAGTTTTTATTATTCTGTAGTACAATTACAACTGTGTAAATAATCTAATCGTGTAACTTAACCGTAGTTTAAAATAATAACTATCACAAAAACACTTTCTTATCAATCAGAGAGTTGTGAAAATACGAGACAAGCCGTTGGTAAATTTACTCCCTATTGTTGTATTACAATACATTATGTTTAGTTTCACACAGTTTTTGTGCACTTATCATACCAATTTAGATTCCTTATGAAACAAGGATATTATTTAAATTGTTTGTACGTTATTTGTTTTTCTTAGTTAAACATTTTTGAATGAAAATAAATACGTTGTTTGGTATTGTTTTCGAATCTTTTTTAATTTATAATAGTTAATTATTGAAATATTAACCCAAAACCACAAAAAACAAATGTTTAATCGCCAACTTTTTTCTCTCTCGACTTTTTTACTCTGAAATATGGATTGTTTTTAAAAAAATCTTAAATCTTCAATAACTTTTCAACCTTTGAATATAGGGTATGGTATATACTAATTTCGATAGCAAAGGGGCTGTACTATCACCTCCTAAAATGTTTTACACCTATTTACCTGTCACCGTGTAGGTCTTCCGTTTATAGCATCCAATACCTAAGTCTAACCGTTTTTGAGAAATACAAAATTTTGGGTAAAAACTCACAAAAGCCGACTAATTTTGCGTATATGTTTGTCCTCGTAACTGGTTTCTTAAAGAATCTGGTCTACTTTATTATTGATAATATACAGGGTGTAAACGTTATGATAGTCATTATTTAAATGGGACTTGTTTTGACCTCCCCTATTACCCATTTCAATAATGACTACCCCATAACGTTTACACCCTGTATAAATAAGATCTTGTCACAAAACATGCACTGTTTTCCCTTGTTCATTTAATGATTGCGATTTGCAGGTAACAAAAGATGAGCAGTGGCGTCGAGCGATGGAATATATTTCGATGGTGTCGGAGCTGAATTACATGTCCCAGATCGTTATAATGCTCTATGAAGATCCAACGAAAGATCCTTGTAGCGAAGAACGCTTCCATATCGAACTGCATTTCAGCCCCGGCGTAAATTGTTGCGTCCAGAAAAATCTACCACCTGGACCCGGCTTCCGGCCGCACTCGAGGAATGAATCGGCCGCGAGCAAAAACTGCGTAAGTTTACTCTTAAAAAGTTCTTGACTTTCTTCTCTGGTCATAACGTCTTCCTCCATAAGTGCTATCATTACTACTAACATTGATTAAGAATAACAAACCTGTTCCTTCAAAATATCGAGATTTGAATTTGGGTAAAATTTTCTATATTGCAAAGCAACTGTCCACCAGTTTATGCCTTGATAATTTTGCAATTTCGGATCTCGATTATTTAAATATGTCATTATCATAACTACGAAACTAGAGGCAGTATAGATTTTCATCTGCAAAATTGTAATAGTAGCATAACTAGTAAATCTATATTTCAAAAGGGAGTATTTGAATTTAATAAATGATAAACATAGTTCGAATTTAAAAATGTTTAAGATGAAATTAAAAAATCACTATGAATAATCCAAATGCCTAGTGACGTAATTTTAATTTTAATAGACAAGAATGTAAAATTACAGAAAATGGATTGAAGAAAAATATGTTATCTAATCATTATACAAAATTGACATTGTGGCATTAATGCTAAATAAATGTTGTTTAATTTTTTTAATAGTATATCATGATTTACACAGCCAAAAGTCGCAAAAAGAGCTATTGAAATTTTTTTATTGTTTAAATTTGAATATAACTGCATCCATGGTATTTTTTTGTTTTTGAAATCCAAACTCCTTGCACTTATAATTTTGTTGTTTTTTTCTATTATTTTTGCTAGAACAACTTAGGGGTCTATAATTTTCTGGTAAACCGCTTGGACCTCCTTATAAATAAAATAGGAATAACTATTGATGTTTTTAAAAACACCTGTGTTAAGAGAAATATCTATGTTTTGTGAGCGTATCAAGAGCATCAAGTGAAAGATTAGCGCCGCCACTGTGTTCGGATACAATACAGGACAACACTCGTGTAAAATATCAAGGATTAATATACAGTAGCGGACAAAAGTTTGGGAACAAACATTAACTTTATTATGAACTATCTCATATAAAGGGTTGTCCAATAGGGACGCAGGAAAGTAAACGTCAATTTGACATAGACGCCATCTTTGTTTCCTGTCACCGACATGTCATTTTGTTAGTTGAATGTTTACCATTGATCGCTATGGAGTCGTATTCGATTGAAGACCGCATTAAAGTTATTCAAGAGCACTACAAAAATGGTGCAAAAATAAAAAACACGTTTCGCGCGCTTCGTGAACATTTCGATCGCAACAACCGCCCAAACGAAACAACCATCGGTCGTCTGGTGCGTAAATTCGAGGCAACAGGTTCTGTGGCAAATCTGCCAGGCTCTGGCCGGCCAAGGAGCGTTCACACATCGTAAAATATTGCTGTTGTGAAGGAGAGTGTGAGAGACGATCCGAAACAATCAACAACGCGTCGATCCCAAGAATTGGGCATTTCGAGAACCAGTTTGCTCCGCATTCTCCACAAGGATTTGAATGTACACGCCTACAAGATCCAATTGACGCAAGAGCTGCGTCGGGCCGACCACTTTTCGCGCCGAACGTTCTCAGATTGGCTCCTTGAAAACCGACAAATTGATGCCAATTTTTCATCAAAAATCATGTTCAGCGACGAAGCGCATTTCACTTTGAATGGGACGGTAAACAAGCAAAACTGCCGCATCTGGGCGAACGAAAATCCCCGTGAGTATCAAGAGCAGCCGATGCATCCTCAAAAAGCGACTGTGTGGTGTGCATTGTGGTCAAAAGGCATCATCGGACCTTACTTTTTCGAAAATGCGGCCGGGGACGCCGTTACCGTCAATTGATGATAGAGGACTATTTTTGCCGCAAATTGAAGGAATGGATATGGACGATGTTTATTTCCAACAAGACGGTGCAACATGCCACACAACCAACGTCAATATCCATCGATTGCAGTCCTTCGATGATCGCGTGATTTCGCGCAGAGGAAATGTGCCATGGCCACCAAGATCGTGCTATTTGACTCCCTTGCACTTCTTTTTATGGGGATATTTGAAAAGCAAAGTCTACGTCAACAAACCAGCCACCCTCCAAGAACTCAAAAACAACAACATTGCCGAGATAAATGCCATACAACCGACCATGTTGCAAAATGTCATTGAAATTTCGACCATCGCGTGGTCGTCTGTAAATCCAGTCATGGTGAACATTTGAGCGATATTATTTTTCATACATAAATGGTATAAATGAACCTTCAAAATAAAGTACCCAACTTGATTTGAATATCAATCTTTCTTGTTTTAATATGCGTTTATTTTACTGCGTCCGTTTTGGACTTTACCTAAATTAAAATTCTGAAGGAACAGATAATCTAAATATTAAAGTCTACATTTGGCTCCCGTACTAATACAAGGTTTATCTGATCAATATTCGAATTCTCTGAAAATAAAAATACGCGATTTTTTAAATGCCACAGTTTTTGTAGCGGCAAAAGTATGGAAACATTTCAGTTTTGCCGTATTTATTCGTTCTGCGATACTCCGAAATTGCGTGCGGTGAATATTAACATCAGTGAGAACGGCAAAAGTAAAAGAATTTTCAAAATATTTAAGAAACAAAGTATTTGAATTATACTAAGTAACATATAAATCCGAACACCCAGTTTAAATTGTTTTATTTTAATAAAAGTTGGTGAATGTATTTATCTTACTGTAAATAACAAGTGAAAAAATGTTCAGCCTTATCAGTTGGACATTCCGGTTTTTATACTGCTTTTTGGTTCTTGACATCCTTTACGATCGGTTACGATGCCTAGAGTACGGAGCCCTGTACGATTTCGTCAACTTAGTGAGTTTGATAGGGGCCGTATAGTGGGACTTCGGGAAGCTGGACTTTCTTTTCGGGCAATTGCAGTTAGAGTGCAAAGAAGTGTAGAGACTGTGGTTAGGTGTTGTCAGGCATGGCTTCGAGAAGGCCGTACGCAAAGAGCAAGGGGCACTGGACGCCGCCGTAGAACAACAGACCGTGAAGATCGCCGCCTAAGATTATTGGCCTTAAGGGACCGTTTCTCCACTACCAGGTCCATTGCAAATGAATGGTTTGCAGAACACGGAAGACCTATTGGCATGCGAAGTGTTTACCGACGAATGAGAAGTTTTGGCTTGTTTTCATACCGGCCATACTGGGTCACTCTGGGATCAGGAATGGAACAGTATTGTCTTTAGACGAGTCTCGATTTTGTTTAGGCATGCACGATGGTCGTGCCAGGGTTAGAAGGCGACGTGGTGAAAGGAGGAATCCACAGTTTTTTGTTGAAAGATATGTTCATCACACTGTTGGAGTTATGGTTTGGGGCGCTATAGCTTATGGTTCCAGGTCACCTTTAATCTTCATCAGAGGTAACATGAACGCGCAGCGTTATATCCACGAAGTTCTAGAACCCCATCTTTTACCCTATCTTGACACCCTGGCAGATCCAACTTTCCAACAAGATAATGCCCGACCACATGTTGCAAGAGTCGCAATAGACTTCTTTCAACATAATGATGTCACATTGTTACCATGGCCACCAAGATCTTCCGACTTATCCCCAATTGAGCACGTGTGGGATATGATGGATATGATGGGTAGGAGATTGCTCAATTTGCAACGTCCTCCTCAGACTCTAGAAGCACTTCGAAAGGAGTTGGTGGTTGCCTGGAATGAGATACCACAGGAGGACATTGACCACCTGATCAGAAGCATGCCTAGGCGCGTTGGAGAATGCGTAGCACATCAGGGTGCATCCACACATTATTAAAGGTCAAAGGGCTTTAAAGCAGTGCAATCATTTTGAAATTTTTATCATTTACTTATGCTTCATTAAGTACTTATACAAAATTTTATTAAAATAAAACCATTTAAACTGGGTGTTCGGATTTATATGTCACTTAGTATATTTAGAAGCGGTTCTCAAAGATTAAAAATGAACAAAGGGACGATTTCGGAAATCGTTACTAAATATCAAAAATTCGGATCAACAGCAACGCGGTCCAGGTGCGGAAGACTGGAACAACCGACTCTGTTGTAGATCGCTACATGATCCTTGAATGCAAGCCACACAGATTTTTTAAAAAGAATGGTAGAAGAGGGTGTTGAGAATCTTTCTTTCAGAACAGTGCAGAGATGCTTGGTGGGTTTTGAGCTTTTTGATAAGCGCCCAGTGCAAAAGCCTCTCATTTAAAAAAAATCGTATTGCTCGGCTCGTTCGGATCTGACGGTACGGCATATGTGAGACGTCCAATACGAAAACGATTCGACAAAAAGTATCAATTGTCACCAGTTAAGCACGGTGGAGGCAACATCATGGTTTGGGGCTGTTTTTCTAGTTCTGGAAAGGGTCCAATTGTTGGGAAACTGGATCAAAAGATATTCTTAGTGAACACATGCTCCCTTTTGCTGAAGAAGATTTACATTCCCCAGCAAGATAATGACCCCAATTCATACCTCAAAATTCGTAAAAGACTGGTTAAGACTAAAACATGTTAATGTTCTTACATGGCCTTCGCAATCCCCTGACCTAAACCCTATAGAACATCTCTGGGAGTATGTTAAAAGACAACTGTCAAGAATACCGTTTAAAAACAGGAACGATTCATTTGATTATGTAAAAAATATTTGGCAAAATATCCCAGCAGACGTCTGTAAAAAATTTGTGTTTTCTGTGAGCAGCAGATGGCAGACAGTGTTGAATGCTAAAAGCTATGCTACCAAATATTAGCTAAACAGTATGTTTTAAATCTTTTTGTTGTAATAAAAAATACGTTTCCATACTTTTGTCGTCACATTTTCGGTCATAAAATAATATGAAGGTATTTTAATGCTAGTCTGTAGTACCACAGCAAACACAAATAGTCATTTGTATCCTCAAAACTATAACCAAACTAACGGGTGATTTTTTAAGACGTATAGGCTTTGATTTTCAAAAAAAACACAAAAAATTTGAAAAAACGATTAAATCTTTATTTGAGTCTATAGAACGGTCGATATAATTTAATGTTTAAAGATTATTTCATGTAAATGTTGGCCGCGGCTCCGCTTTAGATGGCCCATGCGCAAGGTCCAATTTTGGCACACTCTCTCCAACATATCGGCCGGTATCTCACGAATAAATGATTGAATATTGGCTTCCAGTGCGTCAATCGTTGCTGGTTTATCCCTGTAGACATTAGCCTTAACATGGCCCCACAAGAAATAGTCCAACGGCGTTAAATCACACGATCTAGGCGGCCAATTGACGGGCCCCAAATGTGAGATAAACTGTTAACCGAATTCGCCTCTCAATAGGGCTATTGTTTCGTGTACGGTGTGGCATGTGGCACCGTCTTGTTGAAACCACATGTCAGCCAAGTCCAGCTATTCCATTTTGGGCAAAAAAAGTTTGTTATCATCCCACGGTAACGCTCGCCATTCACAGTTACGTTCCGGCCATTGTCGTCTCTGAAGAATGATGCCACCGGCCCATAATCCACACCAAACTGTGATTTTTTCGGGATGCATTGGTAGCTCTTGCAATGCTTCTGGCTGGTCTTCACTCCAGATGCGGCAATTTTGCTTGTTAACGTACCCATTCAACCAGAAATGAGCTTCGTCGCTGAACACAATTTTTCGATAAAAATGTGGATCCTCCTCCAACTTTCCCAGCGCCCATTCACCAAATTGGAAACGTTGTGGGAGGTCGTGTGGCTTCAATTCTTGCACCAGCTGTATCTTATAAGGTTTTACACTCAAATCCTGTCGCAAAATTTTCCACGTAGTGGAGTAACAGAGGCCCAATTGCTGCGAACGGCGGCGAATCGACATTTCACGGTCATCACTAACACTGGCGGATACAGCCGCAATATTTTCTTCAGTCCTCACTCTACATCTGCGTGTTGGTGGTTTAATGTCCAATAATGTAAACTGGGTTCGAAATTTAGTCACAAGCTTCCGAATAGCTCCCTCAGTAGGCCGACCAAATTGCCCATAAATTGGAAGCATTGTTCGATGCACTCTCTTAACCGAGCACGAATTTTGATAGTAAATTGCAAGCGTTGTTCGTTCGTAAGTTGATTCATGGTTAAATTATAGACCAAACTGAACAAGTTTGACAATGACACAAGACACGATTCACTCGTCATCTGTCAAAAACAGTGTTGCCAAAAAGATACTAGCAAAAAAATCACCCATTATATGAGATAGTCCTTAATAATGAACAATAAAGAATTAGCACACTATCTAAAAACTTACTAGAATGTTTCCGCTACTGTGAATATTAATTTGATTATAGAGCTTGAACACGTCTGCTACCGCGACACCAGAAGACGCGAAAAGTCAGTGTTCGCCTAGAATAGACGAAGAAGCCGAAACCTTGACGGACGAAGATAAATATATTCTGAATCCGCCCAAGGTTTTAGAATCGCCACCTAGCACCACCGAGTTTACGCCTCCAGATTCACCCGAATCCGCATACCGACAGTATTTGAAGACTAGTGAACCAATTCCTATAGGGTGAGTTCATTTTTTTATGATTCACTTGAAGAAATCGCATCGACAAAAGTAGATATAGTAGTAGTTGAAGATAAATGTGCAACTCGTTTGTTTGGTTTTTTCAATAGCAAAAAAAGTATACAAGGGTTGTCTCGAAAATAGGGTTCCCACATTTTTTTCAGACACAAGGAATTTTTTATTTGAAAAAACATTGGAAACGTTGATCTTTAAGCTGTTTCTCTACAAAGTCGTCATTTTTTCTACGCATTTTTTTTTTAGACTTTTCAGTCGCGCCCCAAGGAAGTCCGCCGCTAGCCCTCTTGGGCAATGAGCGGGCAATGACTTCCCACCCAAATCGCTCGATTCAGTGCTTCGTTTGTTGTGAGACATGAGGATGCGCATTGTTTTGGCGCGTGATTCTACGATCTTCGAGCAAAGTTTGCTCAATCTTTGCCATAACTTCCTCCCGGCCTCCCTCTTCGTTGTTCGTCGTGGATGTCTGAGCAGCCGTCATAGCATTGTCTTTATCATTTGAGGACATGTTGAATTTTGATCTCCTGTTAGTAAAATCGGACCTCGGAGTTTAATGTTTGTCCGCAGAAGCTCGCATACGGTGAGCGGCCATGAGGCAATGCACTTGGCCAAACGACTGAATGAGGAGCTAGCCAATCAGGCGCAACATGGCGGCCGGAGCTACGGCATGAATCGATCGGCTAGTCCAGAACCCGAGCCAAGATCGAGGAGCTACGACCACAAAAGCCCCCAGAAAAGCAAGGGTAAGTTTGTTTCTGAGACTTTGCTCATTTCATGTCTGTTGGGTTGGACATTAACTTTGAATAACACTTGTTTTACCTGTTTTCTTAGTTTAAGTAATTTGATATTGCCTCAACAGAATGAATTAATGTTGTGCTGAATACCTTCATTGTTTGTAGATTTGGAAATACTATCTTAGTTTGGTCATTGTGTATGGTACAGTACATATTTTATATCGGCTCAGTTTTGCGATTTGTTGCGAGATGATAAAAATAGGAAGGTGCTCGGAACATTAATGATAATCCTGCAGCAGAGAATAGGTCACAACATAACCTACTATCCGGAAAAAAAAATTTCAGTAAACATCTCATGATTTTAAAATTTTTACTACACATCCCAAAAACGTCCGTCCTCTTTGCCGCACCCTGTACTTTCTTTGCTGGATGACTGGCCTACATTCAGTTAATCTCATCTCACGTCTGCAAATATTTTTTGAACCAGCTTCGTAAAACGCTCACAATTATTTCATCCAAAGCAGCATTATTGTTCTAAAGATAGTGAGCAAACACAAAAATTTCCGTTCGTGTTTTTCAAATGAAGTGACATATGATGTTGGTTACTTTGAAACAAATGCAGTCCAAAAAGGCATATTTGCAAAAACAGCACTAGAATCAAAAAATTAAATGCTGAAAATCGTGTAAACTCTTACTTTGTTTTTTAAGATTTATTTATAACGATTGCAATAATTACATTCTTTTAAAAAAGTACAACAATTACATAACATACAGATATTTATAAAAACAAAATTTTCATCTTTAGGAATGTTCACTGTCCACGACATATTCCTTTAAACATCTTTAAATTACACGTAGACGTTATGGCATTATTTAGTTTATTAAATTCAAGTAATCCTTTCTGAAATATTGATTTGCTAGTTTTATTACTATTGCAATTTTGAAAATGAAAATCGATATTTCCTGTTGTAAGGCAACTGTGATAATGATTATTCAATTCTACGTAGCGGTCTAATAAATGTGGCAAAAGATGATTTTTTATTTTAAAATAAAAATAAGAATGAAATATATGAAATTTTTTATATCTTACCTTTGCAATTCTTATTTTTATTCAATATTATTCTTATCGTTTTATTTTACAGAAGTTGTAATTTTGTAATAATATAATTGTATTATAAACTATTTTTTTTGAATATTTACTAAGACGATGTGAATCTATCTAAAAGTAATTTGTTTTATTGGCAATTTTTAAAATAATGTACATATTCATAGAGATACTTAAACTTTAGATTACTATCAATATAGATACCTAAATATTTAATTGATTCAGTATTTTCCGATTATTCCACCATTTATCCTAACTGTGATTGTATTTTTATGTTCCCTAATATCATACATTTTATTTTAGAAGCATTCAATTTTAGTTTATTTATATTTAACCACTTTGTTTTTTGCCAAGTCAGAATTAATCATTTTTAAAGCAGTGTCTATATTTTCATCTGATATGTATCATCTGCAAATATCTGAATTTTACAAAAATGTCACAAATTTCATTAATATACTAAGTGACATATAAATCCGAACACCCAGTTTAAATGGTTTTATTTTAATAAAAGTTGATGAATGTATTTATCTTACTGTAAATAACAAGTGAAAAAATGTTCAGCCTTATCAGTTGGACATTCCGGTTTTTATACTGTTTTTTTTTAATTCACTAACGCTCTAAAAATGAATATTTCAGCCACAGTAAAGAATCAACGTTGGCGGATTTTGGTTCTTGACAATCTTTACGATCGGTTACGATGCCTAGAGTACGGAGACCTGTACGATTTCGTCAACTTAGTGACTTTGATAGGGGCCGTATAGTGGGACTTCGGGAAGCTGGACTTTCTTTTCGGGCAATTGCAGTTAGAGTGCAAAGAAGTGTAGACACTGTGGTTAGGTGTTGTCAGGCATGGCTTCGAGAAGGCCGTACGCAAAGAGCAAGGGGCACTGGACGCCGCCGTAGAACAACAGACCGTGAAGATCGCCGCCTAAGATTATTGGCCTTAAGGGACCGTTTCTCCACTACCAGGTCCATTGCAAATGAATGGTTTGCAGAACACGGAAGACCTATTGGCATGCGAAGTGTTTACCGACGAATGAGAAGTTTTGGCTTGTTTTCATACCGGCCACACTGGGTCCTCCCTTTAACTCGAGAACACCGACGTAATCGCCTTGAGTGGTGCAGACAACGGTCACTCTGCGATCAGGAATGGAACACTATTGTCTTTAGTGACGAGTCTCGATTTTTTTTAGGCATGCACGATGGTCGTGCCAGGGTTAGAAGGCGACGTGGTGAAAGGAGGAATCCACAGTTTTTTGTTGAAAGACATGTTCATCACACTGTTGGAGTTATGGTTTGGGGTGCTATAGCTTATGGTTCCAGGTCACCTTTAATCTTCATCAGAGGTAACATGAACGCGCAGCGTTATATCCACGAAGTTCTAGGACCCCATCTTTACCCTATCTTGACACCCTGGCAGATCCAACTTTCCAACAAGATAATGCCCGACCACATGCTGCAAGAGTCACAATAGACTTCTTTCAACATAATGATGTCACATTGTTACCATGGCCACCAAGATCTCCCGACTTATCCCCAATTGAGCACGTGTGGGGTATGATGGGCAGGAGATTGCTCAATTTGCAACGTCCTCCTCAGACTCTAGAAGCACTTCGAGAGGAGTTGGTGGTTGCCTGGAATGAGATACCACAGGAGGACATTGACCACCTGATCAGAAGCATGCCTAGGCGCGTTGGAGAATGCGTAGCACATCAGGGTGCATCCACACATTATCAAAGGTCAAAGGGCTTTAAAGCGGTGCAATCATTTTGAAATTTTTATCATTTACTTATTATGCTTCATTAAGTACTTATACAAAATTTTATTAAAATAAAACCATTTAAACTGGGTGTTTGGATTTATATGTCACTTAGTATATATAAAATAAATAGTAGTGGACCTAGTTTGCTACCTTGTGGTACACCACCAGAAATATTTTTTGAGCTGGACAATGTAGATCCAATTTTGGTTTTTTGACTTCTGTCGATTAATTAGTTTTGTAGAATTTTGAATACAGATCCTTTAAATCCATAGTGATGCAATTTTGTAAGTAATTTATCTAAATAGTTTCAAACTCCCCTTTGAAGTCCAAAAACACTGTTACCGTAAGTTTCCTGCCATGATGCGACCCATTTGCAATTGCAGGATTGTCCTTCATTTTCTGACCACCCGATATAATTAGAATGGAATAGTAAATCATTCAGGCACCTTCCTGTTTTTATGCTAACTACCGAGTTTGACATTTTGGTCAATACCGTGTTTAGCTACATCGTGAAATTTTAACAGTAGTTCAGGCCTTTCCTGCACTAGAAATGTATGAGACTGATACCGATTTTGATTAAAATCAAACTCTAACGGTAATATAACGGATCAAATATTTCGTAATACGCTATATTCCTCAACCTGTATGTAGGAGGTGCTCTTGTATGCAGTGAAATAGAGGTCCCTTGTTAAGCTTTTTTTCTGCAAAGCCCATTTTTCTCAGCATTTCACTAATTCAATTGAAACATAAACACCTGTAGTTAGTTGCTGCTAAATAGTCCACTTGCCAGGTATAACATTAACATGTATCTTCTACAAACAAGAAATTAAATCAATTTCACTCTCTGAGAAACATAGCATTATGTCACTCAATTATTCACGACAGATATATTTAATAGTAATAACGGGTGCGCCATCTATTACTTTTTTTTATCTATAAGTTTGTGTTGCCATGTGAGTCCAAAGTCATGTGGTATGTTTGCCATTTATAGTCATGGATTCGTTTACAATACAACAACGCATTTTGGTTATCCAAACGTATTACGAAAACGGTCGAAATATAAAAAGTACTTCGCACTAGTTTTGGCCGACATGGACGCCCTACAGAGCCTGGAATTCGTTGGATTGTTAATCGTTTTGAAGAAACTGGATCAGCTGAAGGTCGTAGACCATACCAACCATTCGGCCAAAGTGCTCTTTTCTGATGAGGCTCTTTTTGACCTCAATGGGTGCGTAAATAATCAAAATACACACCAATATCATGAACAACCTCTCCATCCTGAAAAAGTGACTGTTTGGTGCGGGTTATGGGCTGGTGGCACCGTTGGACCATTCTTCTTTGAAGATGTCGAAGAAAAGGCCATTACCGTCAACGGGGAACGTTATCGCGACATGTGAACAGACTTTTCGTGGAAAAAATTGGATCGTATTGGTGCCGACGATCTTTGGTTTCATCAAGACGGAGCACCGGCTCACACATCTCGCCAAACAATCGCCTTATTGCACAAGAAATTTCAAGACCGCATAATTTCACGAAATTCAGATGTCAGTTGGCCCCCGAGATCGTGCGATTTAACACCTCTTGACTATTTTCTTTGGGGATTTTTGAAAGGAAAAGTGTATGCGAATGGTCCCCGGACAATTCAAGACCTAAAGCGCAATATTCGGAGTGAATTTGCGGCCATAGACCCGATTATTCACAGAAAAAAAGTCATTGAACATTTTGATGTTCGGATGTTGGCCTGTAAACGAAGCCGCGGTGGTCACATGACTGATGTTATTTTTCATACATAAATGGCATAATCCAACATTTAATTATCATTAAAAAAATTCTATTTCACCTCGTAAAAAGCGTGTTGATTTTTCAAATAGAAAAAAAGTAATAGGATATAGAGATATGCTGGGTGCGTTTGATAATAATACGTACGCAGCTACTGCTCCTTACATTGCGGTCTTGGATAGTCGGAAGATCCAAAATAATAATAGAACCCGTTCGAGGTCACAACGGAGCTCTTTTCTTATACAGGATGATTCCCAAGTCGTGACCAAAAATGAAATATCATACACTGGACCGCATTTTAAGGGGGCTCTTCTATGTAACATTTTTTCCTAGTTGTAAGGGCCGGTCTTAGATCCCTTTTTT